CCCGCCCGCCCGCCCCGTGTTGTGTGTCCCGTCGTGACCCCCACCATAGTTACAAGGGGAGGAGCCTAAGATCTAGGAGAGCAGCTCCTGTCCCACAGGCAGATGACCAGAGGGCCCTGAAGAGGGCTCTGTCTGTGGGTCAGCAGGGCACAGATGGCAGACACAGGCAGGCCACAGCTCAGGAGTGACCCCACACGCCCTCTCCCATTAGATGCTCTGCAAGCACTCAGGACAGTACTTGAGCGTCTGGTCCAGGTCGCAGATGTGCACGTGGCCTGGCCCGCACAGGTGAGGGCAGTGTCACCACCCCTGACGTCTCGAGCTGGGGACAACTGTAGTGCCTCGTGGAACACGAGTGTAACTCCACCAGCTCTCAGTGCCTTTCGGCCCCTGGACACCCGCGGAATGAAACCCTGACCGGCTTTTACCCTGTGAGGACCAAGGGTCGTGTGTTGGTAACTGGGAGTAGAGATGAGTGAGGGGAGGCTGCCTGGAGCCCCTGTGCATGCTGGGAACCAATGCAAGAGCAGCAGCCTCCTCACAAGCCAGAGGCAGCACCACTGTAGGAAGAGAGAGGCCCAGATGACGCAGCGTCCACCCGGACTCCCGCACTGTAGCTCCTGCTAGGTCAGGGTTTATCAGCAGGAGTGTGTAAGACAGGGAACCCAAGGCCTCTGGTTGAACTGGGCCTCTTCTGTCCTCCCAGCTGCCCCTTGACTGAAGACACCTCTCTCTCTTTGTGGGCATCAGCCTGCCAGGAGAGCAGGGTAGGGTAGGTCCTGCCTTGAGAGCCACTTGTCTTCTGAGGAGCGCACAGCTTCTGTGTAGAAGCCCTAGGCCATGTGCTGTGACCCACTCTGTCAGGTGCACACTGGGAACCAGTGCCCCTCCCGCTGTAGAGTTCTTGGCCCTGGGGCCACCTCTTCCTCTGCTGCCTTGAGCCGGGGTCAGGAGAGATCCTGGCCTGCTGGACCCCAGGGGGAGAGGTGACAACACCCATAGCCATAGCCAAAACCATAGGCCAGGCGGCTCATGACAACACAGTGTGCCCTGGCCTGTGGAGGCCACAGAGAGCACATGAGCAGGTGGGTGAGCAGAAAGCTCGGTGCCAGCAGCCCCTGAGTAAGGCTGGGACAGTGGTTTCCCTTAGCACTGGGAAGGGCTCGGTTAACCAGCTGAAGCAGACGGCTTCAGATCTTAGTGTGCAGCGTTTTCTGTTGAACGACTGCTCCTGTCTAGGCACTGTGCCCATGACCCTAGCTGTCAGAAAAGCAGTACTTAGCACAAGAGGTGGTCTGCACTCTTTATCTGGGACTCTGTCCTCTGGGAGGAGCACTCTCCGTGAGGGGGACCCCAATTCTACTTGTGTATGGCAGTGGCTCACATCTTTAATCCCAGCACTCAGGAGGCAGAGGCGGGTGGATCTCTGTGAGTTTGAGGCCAGCCTGGTCTACAGAGCGAGTTCCAGGACAGCAGGGCTACACTATTTGTGCACTGAAGACAATGCAAACAGGAACCAGAGTCCCTGTGGACAGTGTGACATTGGTTCCCGGCTGGCTCAGCCCAGGCAGTGCACACCTGGTGACATTTAGACAGCAATTTTGGGGGCGGCTGGAGGAAGGAAATGTTTGGTGTGACTTGACATTAAGTCCTCTGGCTGGTGGTTCTCCTTTGCCAATATACCGACGTGTATGAATTGTGTAGGCCTAAAAATAGCTGCCAGGACTTGGTGTCATCCTGGATGAAGGGCACCCGCTCCATTTCCTTGGCTTTCGGATACCCTCATAATGTCGCAATGAAATGGCATCCTGGCAGAATTAGCACAGCTCGTTAAAACTAGCTCCTTGGCCAGGGCAGTGCCAGATGGGACCTCAAAAGTGACCACCCAATTGCTGCTGCCATGACATCTGCCCAGGGGTTCATAGTGAAGCCAGGCCAGTCCTAAAAATGAAGTCCTAGCAGCAGAACGATAGACATGTCAGGACCATCCCCCAGCAAAACCCAGCTAAGCCCCCTGGTCAGTTGGTCCTGCCTGCCGATGCTGTGACCCCAGCCCAAGGTGCCACTGCCTGAGGACCTCACAGTGGGGCAGTCCCTTTCCTCGTGACACTTGGCCCACTCACACTTTCTAACACCACAGTCCACTGCCAGAGCCTCTGGGCCTGCGTCCGCACACACTGTGGAAGGTGGGGCGGGTCCTGGTGCCCGATGCTCTAACGCTCTCTTTTGTGTATTGCCGCAGCCTGAGACAGAGGACGAGAAGAAGCGCTTTGAAGATGGCAAAGGCCGCTACCTGCAGATGAAGGCGAAGCGACAGGCCCACACAGAGCCTCAGCCCTAGGCGCCTCCTCCTGCCCCTGGGTCGGCACGGGTGTGGCGGTAGCCCCATGTGCAGTCACTTAGAAGTAACCCCTTGGCCAAAACCCCAATTTCCATTGGGAGCTGGTGTTGTATGAAGTTTTGTGTGGCAGTGTTACCTTTGCCCTGTTCCCAAAACCTGTGCACCAAAGCTTATTTATGTCCCTCCAGAAACTGCTCCCCAGTGTTGTCCCAAAGGCCACCACGGACAGAGAGCACACTGAATGGTCTGTGAAGAAACCAGCACCACTAATAAAGCTGCTGTCTGGCTGGATCCATAACGCCTGTGTGGTCATTTGTCTGGGGTGTATGTGGGGGGCTCCTGCCTCCTTGTGCAGCCTCAGCCCTCCATTCCTGGAGGCTCAGGGCCTTCCTCCCAGGCCCCACCCCTCCCAACACCAGCTCTGGAAACTCAGAGGTGCACTTGGGGCCTTGCATCTGAGTGGATTCCTGGGACCCCACTGCCTGAGCCTTGTGCGCATTCCCTTAACAAGGGCTCCTTGTCCCTCTCCTTGCTTTAGGCCTAAGCAGGCGACGGGTGCAGAGAATCTGCACTGCCTGGTCCAGATACCACATCTGCTGGGAGTCTCCCAGCTGCTCAGGCAGGGGCTACTTGGAGAGGCTCGTGTGGAATGAGGGTCTGGGAGGCAGTTTGTCAGTGGGGTCAGGGGTGACTGTAGCTACAGGTAGGGTGTATGTGTGTGTGTAGTGGAGTACATGTGCATGCCTGTTTTGCTGTATGCATGAGGCATGAGGGTCTGTGCACACGCATCTGTGTTGCTGTATGTAGCAGTGGATGTGTGCTAAGGAGCTATCTGTGTCATCATTAGGATATATGTCTGTGCTTGTGGCCTAGCTGCCTTGGGGAAGGGGGCACAGATAGCCACCAAGGCCTCTCCAGGGGCCAGGACTCCACCCCCTGCCCACCAAACAGCCAGAGGTGGTGCCTGCAGCCCAAGCCAGCTGCAGCCTAGCACACAGCTCCCGAGGCCCCGGAGGAAGAACCCAGCTCCAGATATGCAGAAATACCCACCAAGAGCCTCAGCTTCAGAATCTGTCTCAGCCTAGGTCCCAGAAGACGGGTTACTTCCCGCCTGGAAGTGGGGAGGGGACTAACTCTCCCACATGTAGCCACATCAATCAGCTCTGTTCCTCGGGTCCCAGACAACTCTGAGGTCTCCAGCTGATGCCACAAGTATACCCTTGACTCAGTAATGAGGACACTCAGGCCAGCAGGAAGCACGGACACCAAGATCTTGAACCCAGAACCAGCCATGGCATCCTAAGCAGGACCTGGGCCTTGGGCTCCCTGGGGCATGTCCTTCATAGACACAGCATTAAAATGTCACACTTGACCACAAGTGCCCTCTGCTGGCAATCTATTTATAACCGGGGTTGCCTGCATAGGAGCCAGTCGGTCCACAGAGGGGCTGAGAGCCCCGACCACTCCCAGAAAGCCTGGGAAGTGTTGGAGGGCACACACCTGGAGCTATCCCCACCCTGAATATTAATGACTCCTACATACATACACACACACACACACACAATCTTGACCTGTCTCAGACAACTGACTTTAAGGTGCACCCTGGCACCCCAGGGTACAGAAGACAAGTTACCAAGTAAGGACAGCTTGCAGGACACCAGGCAGCTATTGAATTGCAGTCAATGAGGGTCTGATCCTCTGGTCCTAGGTACCCATCTTCCCGTGGGCACAGAGCTCTCTGGTCCAGGAAGGATAAAGGATGGTCCTGTCCCACACAACCCTGAGTTGGCCCAGTAGACCGTGCCCAGAAGACTTTGTGTCATTGTGTCTCCTGGACTGAGGACCAGGATATCAGCTCCACTCTGACTTGGAGAGGTCTTAAGAGCAGCCAGGGAGAACAGGAAGTTTCCCTCTGTGCAGGAGCCGGGGACTGCAGGGTGACAAGCCTGTGCCCACTAGAAGTGTTAGCAGAAGGTGGATTCCAGGACAGGAGGAAGATCCAGGGGTCAAGCATCAGGTCCCAGGTTCTACCAGTCAGAGCCTCAGGGGACAAGGTTAACCCTGCAACCCTGAGGTCCCTGCCCTGTTCCCGGCTGCGCCCAAGGCACAAGTAGTACATTGGAACCTTTGGCTGGCCCAACAATGCCTCCTGCTACTCTTGATTCCTAGAAGCCGCTAGTCCTCAGGCGCACGAATCCTGTCCCTCGTCAGGAAAGCTAACATCTGACATGGCTTCCTCCCTGACTCCCCAAACACCCTGTCCTGGGTCCCCTCCACGTCGAAGCTCCTCTTTCTCTGGCCAGCGAGCCCCGCCCCTCAACGCCAGGCGGGCTTAGAGGCGGCTGCGCGAGTGACCCAGACCCAAGAGGCCCCAGCGTGGGCCGGTCCCATCGTGCGCTCTAAGGGGCTTCACTGCGGCTGCCGTGGCTACGTGGCTGCCGGGAGTCGGGGGCCAGCGCGACGCGGCCGGGAAGGCGGGGCGCGGCCAGGGGGCGGCGCGGAGGACCCGGCAGAGGCATGCGCCCTGGACCGCCCCCCGCCCCCGGCCGCCGGAGCGCAGCCAGCCGAGCGGCGGGAGCCGAGCGCGGCCGTGGCGGAGGCGGCGCCCAGGGAGGGCGGGCGGCGGGGCCGAGCGCAGCGCTGCCATCAGGCTATCGGCAGCCGCCGCCAAGATGCCCCGGCCCGCGGGCCGCTCCGCCGCCAGCCACCCCCGCAGCCCCTGGCGGCGGGCGCTCACTGCAGAGGCGCGGGAACCTCAGCCGGAGCCGGAGGCGGGAGCAGAGAGCTGGAGCCTCGGGCGCCCGAATGCTGGGTGAGCGCCACCGCCCCGGCCCAGGGGCACCGAAGGGGAAATCTGGGCGGGAGGGCTGGACCAGGAGGCGCAGCGAGCATCTGGTGGGAGGCGGGGTCCGTCGGACTGGCCGTGGGCAGCCTTTAGGGCCAGAACGCCCCACCAACAACAACTTGGGGACCTTCAGGGTAACTTCTCCGAGCCAGCCTCCTCCTCGGCTCTCCGCCTCCAGGGCAGGCGGCGCAGTCCTTGGCGGCTCGCAGCGGGCAGGCGTGGCTGCTTTGTGGGTCCCAGGCCCCTATGCTCAGCGTAAACTGAGGGTGCGGGTTGAGGCACAGTCCCACCCCGCAAGCTGGCTTCCCAGCCGTCGCTTGGACGCACCCTCGAAACTGGGAACTGGAAGAGCTCAGGCCGGCAGGGCTGCGCCTTTTAGGGGTGGGTAAAGAAACCAACTGAGCCCCGAGAGACCGAGACCTATAAGTGGGGTGTCAAGGGGCGTACGCTGCGCTCCGTCCAGCTGGGCCTTTGGAGATCTTTTGGCAGACCAACGCGGGCTAGGAGGAGAAATCACGAAGCCTTAGGCTTTTGGGAGACGGGTGGGCGCAGCCCGAACCCGGGGAATCCTTTCAAGTTCTAGGTTCTCTTTGTTGCGCAATACAGCCCCGGGGCTGCGCGGCCTCATTGGCTCTGGACCGTGACGTCACGACCTGGCCCTACCCGCAGACCCTGCCGAGGGAGGAGGCTTCAAGGCCTGGGAGGGTCTCTAGATTGTCTCACCTTCCTTAGGGAGGGCGAGCTGTGAGGTCCCTGATACGGTGGTGGGAAGAAGCATCCGCCTGGAAATGTTGGAGATGGTTGGGATCCGTGGCAGAATGAGCTTGCTGGCTAGAATAACCAAACCCCGATGGAGCCCAATGGGGTCTGTCCCCCAGTGGCTGCTGCCCTAGGACCTGTGGGCATCAACAGCATGACCACATCACCTCTTCTCTTAAAGAGATCTGATATCCGCCCCTCAACCCTCGAGGACGTACCTTCCCTTCCAAAATACAGCCTCTGGGATTCCCGGAGTCAAATATGGTCTGCCCTGGACCCTTCCTCTCTGCTGCCCTCAGCTTGGAGACTACCTCAGTTGCCAGATTTAGGATGTATCCTGCAGGGACGAGCATCTCAGACAGACCTTGCTTCTGTGAGCGGTGAAGTGCCTTGTTAGGGACTTTTTAGAAGGGCTTGAGACCACGACTTCCGTGTTTGATGAATGCAGTTTGAATCCTGGCTCGGGTTCATAAAGATGTTGGCAGGTGATCGCATCCCTCCCTGCCTCCATCAAGATGACTCTGTAATGGGGATGGCAGCAGCACTACCCATTAAAGATGCCAGAGAAGTGTGCCTCCCTCCCTCCCCCGCCGATAGCCCTCTGCCCTGTAGACCACTGAGTGGAAGCCTGGGCTTGGCTAGCCTCCTCGATGTTCTCTCTGCTTTGGCTTGGCAAAGTGTTTCCTGGCTGCTCACTGTGCCTCTGGCCCCAAGCACTTTTCCTGGCAGAGTGCACCAACTCTTTTCAAGAAAGGCACTGCCATGTCTGATTTCTAGATTGGAAAGCTGGGCTGCAGAGCTATCCAGTAGCGAACGGGGAGCTGGGGCTGGACTCTAGCTTCCTGAGTAGTCCCCGGGGTTCTTTCTCCCCCACCTAGGTAGCCATCCAGTATGCAGCTGAGAAGCTTAGCCAGACCCAGGCACTGTGGTGCAGGGTAGAGCCGGATAGGGCCACCCTGCCGCCCACACTAGTTTCTGCAAGCATCGACCTAATGTTTGGGCAGAAATTACCCTGCCTGCGGCCGGTTACAGTAGACCTCTCCCCTGAGTCGGTGTCTGGGCAGGACTGGGGCAGACACACAAAATGAATGAAAAGAACTATAGAGACGAGGGCTGAGTGTGGTGTGCACGCCTTTAATCCCAGCACTGGGGAGGCAGAGGCAGGCGGATCTCTGGACGTTTAAGGCCAGCCTGGTCTACAGTGAGCTCCATCCAGTACAGCCAAGGCTACACAGAGTGACCGTGTCTCAGAAACAGTTTTTAAAGAAATTGTAGACAAGCCAGCAGAGACTGTCTGCTCAGTTGGCCAGGACAGCTTGGTTTTTCCTGCCTGAGAGCTAGGAGTGAGTCCTGGCTAAGGGCTGCCGTTGGCCAGTCCACCCCAGCTGGGAGTCGCCGGGTGAGGCTGGATGTGTGGTAGGCTGAGCAGTGCAGCTGATGGGACTTCAGGTAGCCTTCAGTTAGCATGGGGACTGTCCCCAGGCTGCCTGCTCCAAGACGCAGTGCTCCGCCCAGGGAGCCTGGGAAAGCCGGCAGGCTGGAAGAGGGAGGGGTGGGAGGGACTTGCCAGCCAGCCGTCTAGTAGTGTATGGTCCCTCCCTACATGTTTAACCTCCTGCCCAGGATCCTATGTCAATCCGTGCACGCGCATGCTAGCACACACACACACACACACACACACACACACACTCCCCCATCTGAAGGCATCTGGCAGTTCCTTGCAGTTAAGGCCTAGGCTCTGGGGTGACTCCAAGCTAGCACTAGTCCATGGCACCCTCTGGGTGAGATCCAGGCCCAGGATGCTGTTGTCCCCTCACAGCACCCACTGTGTGACGCCTGGGCTTTAGACGTGTGCTGTCTGTGCAATTAGCCTCCCCACAGATGCAGCATAGCTCTCCTCGGGTGGGGGCCCTGCCAGTGGCCCCATAGGCAGTGACGCAGTTTTGGTCACAGTCTGATTGTGCCAAGGCCTGTGTAGAGGCCAGGGGGAGAGAATGTCTCCCCACTCCCAGGGTGGGCGTGAGAGTGGTGGCTGTCTTCTCTCTATCTCACATGTCACCTGGGGGATCAGAGAAGGCAAAGGGAGGTACGGGGCGGGCAGGATAAAGAAAGTCAGAGTGCTTGGGTTGTCTGTGTGGGGATTTGCAGTACACATGGTAAGAGGGCTTGCTGTGAGACAAACCTAGGCCATACCTGGTCTACAGGGCAAGTGCCAGGCTTGCCAGGGCTGCATAGTGAGGCCCTGTCCCTTAAAGACCCAGACTGAGAATAGAGAGACCACGACTCGGTGGTTAAGAACACTATCTGCTCTTGCAGAGGACCCAGGTTCAATTCCCAGCACCCACATGGTGGCTCACAACTATCTGTCACTCCAGTTCCAGGGGTCCCAACACCTTGTCCTGGCCTAGGAACACATGGTATACAGGCAAAACACTCATACGTATGCTATAAAATAAATAAATCCAAAGAGAGATGGTAGTCCTTTTGGGCCCAGCCTGGCCTGAGGCTATAAGTGAACAGGTGGCCTGTAAGAAAACTCAGATTCTGGGCCGGGCATTGGTGGCGCACGCCTTTAATCCCAGCACTCGGGAGGCAGAGGCAGGCTGATCTCTGTGAGTTTGAGACCAGCCTGGACTACCAAGGGGAGTTCCAGGACAGCCTCCAAAGCCACAGAGAAACCCTGTCTCGGAAAAACCAAAAAAAAAAAAAGAAAAGAAAAGAAAAGAAAACTCAGATTCTGGGCTGGAGAGATGGCTCAGCGGTTAAGAACACTTACTGCTCTTCCAGAGGACCTGGGTTCAGTTCCCAGCACCCTCATCAAGTAGCTTACAACTGCCTGAAAGTCCAGTTCCAGGGGATCTGATACCCTCCCCTGGGCTCTGAAGGTACTGCATGCGTATAGTGCACATAACATTCAGGCACAAACAAGTAGGTAATTATTTTTTTTTTTTTTTTGGTTTTTCGAGACAGGGTTTCTCTGTATTGTTTTGGAGGCTGTCCTGGAACTTGCTCTGTAGACCAGGCTGGCCTCGAACTCACAGAGATCCGCCTGCCTCTGCCTCCCGAGTGCTGGGATTAAAGGTGTGTGCCACCAACGCCCGGCCTGAGTACATAAATCTTAAAAAGAACTCTTTGAAAAGGAAACTCAGATGAGTGAGTGGAAATGAGGGAATATGCACTCATTTGGCACCCCTGTATACTGCCCCTTGGGCCTCCTGCCCAGGAAGTAATGAGATCTCTTCTGAGACAGCAGCCTGTTGTAAGTCAGAGCCCCACAGGTAACGGCGGCGCAGGGGGACTCTGATGTCTCACTGGGTGCCCATTGCCCCCTCCCCAGCTGCTTGTGGTCCCTGGCACCACCGAGCCCCCACATGTGAGGGCTGCTGCATTGCGAGGAGGAAGAGGAGGAGGAGGAGGAGGAGGGAGGATGCCACAGCCACTCACCAGCTCCGGTCTGCACCATGAGTGATGAGCGGCGGCTGCCTGGCAGTGCGGTAGGCTGGCTGGCATGTGGAGGCCTGTCGCTGCTGGCCAACGCCTGGGGCATCCTCAGCGTGGGTGCCAAGCAGAGGAAGTGGAAGCCTCTGGAGTTCTTGCTTTGCACGCTGGCGGCCACGCACATGCTCAACGTGGCGGTGCCCATTGCCACGTACGCTGTGGTGCAGCTGCGGAGGCAGCGCCCCGACTACGAGTGGAACGAGGGTCTCTGCAAGGTCTTCGTGTCCACCTTCTACACCCTCACCCTGGCCACCTGTTTCTCTGTCACCTCCATCTCCTACCACCGCATGTGGATGGTCCGCTGGCCCGTCAACTACCGGTGAGCACAAGACAGGCCTGGGGGTGTCTGTGTGTGTGGTTGGGCCCTGCCCAGGATGGGTGTGAAGACGAGGGGGCTGGGATAGTCCAGGGCTGCTGGGGCCTGCATGGAGAGGTGCCTATGGCTGAACACTGGTGTCACGGTACGGAAGCGCCGGGCGTGGGGGACAGGTGCGCGAAGGGGAGCGAGGACCCCGCTGTGCCGGCTGTGGGGAGGTGACAGTCAGTGGGGACGGGTGGTCAGGACCCCCCGCGGTCCCTTAGAGGCCGGTGAGTAACGCCAGGGTTCTCTGTCCTGCCCTACTTCGTGCCAGGCTGAGCAATGCCAAGAAGCAGGCGGTGCACACAGTCATGGGCATCTGGATGGTGTCCTTCATCCTGTCCGCCCTTCCTGCCGTTGGCTGGCACGACACCAGCGCGCGCTTCTACGCCCACGGCTGCCGCTTCATCGTGGCTGAGATCGGCCTTGGCTTCGGCGTCTGCTTCTTGCTGCTGGTGGGTGGCAGCGTGGCCATGGGCGTGGTCTGCACAGCCATTGCCCTCTTCCAGACACTGGCCACGCAGGCAGGGCACCGGGCTGACCGCCCCGCCTTCACTGTGCCCACCATCGTGGTTGAGGACACACAGGGCAAGCGTCGCTCCTCCATTGACGGCTCCGAGCCTGCCAAAACCTCGCTGCAGATCACGGGCCTGGTGGCCACCATCGTGGTCATCTATGACTGCCTCATGGGCTTCCCTGTGCTGGTGGGTGAGGTCGCTGGGTTAGGGAGCCTGTCATGGATGTGGCTTCTGGGACAGCCTAGGGACTGACCGTCGGGTGGCTGAAGCTTCAAAGCTGACTTCAGCGGGGTTCAGAGAGGTACATGACTTGCCCAAAGTCAGGGTAGGTGTGACGAGACTCGAACCCCTGTCGGATGACTGGTATCTTTTTGTCACACTGCGGAGGCACTGCCTCCCCTCACCCCTGGCCCTTTCCATTGAGAAGCAATGCCACTGCCTCTCCCTGCCCAGGTCCCAGGATGTGGCAGGTAGGTAGGGGACACTGATAGGCATAGGACAGGCTCCCCATGCCTCCTCTGAAGTTGCCCGTCTTCTGAAGGAGGTCGAATTAAAGGCTCATTGGACGAAGGCCTTGCCCCCTCTCACCCCGTGGGACTGTCTGAAGTCCTCTGAGCAGCTTGGACTAGGCTGGCTCAGGACTGAAGTCTGGGGCTGGAGAGGCGGCCCACTGCCCACTGCAGACGACCAAGATTCAGTTCCCAGCACCTACACGGTGTCTCACAACTGAGTCTAACTCCAGTTCCAGGGGCTCTGGTGTCCTCTTCTGACCTCCACAGGCACCAGGCACACAGATGACAAACTGATACACATTCAGGCAGAATGTCCATACATATAAACATAAAATATTTTTTTTAAAAAGACTGAAGTCTACACTCGGTAAACAGCTCCAGGAGTCTCACTGGGGCTCCTGGAGAGACCAGAGGCAGCCTGCCCACACAGCCAGAAGGGTTACGTCCCTTGAGTCTCTGCAGGACACAGGCCCAGATCAGTGGCCGCTTCAGTCAGGGCTGTTGTGCTGTATCTCTGGCTCACCCTGCCACCCTAGCCCTCCCACTCTGGGATGCTCATCTACAGTGGGGCCTGATACCCCTTGGTCCTTCATGCCAATGGTAAGAGTTAGGACACCACCCTGAGCATCGAAAAACCCTGTAAAGACAGAGTAGGGCCTTCGGGGTAGGGGCCCGCCCCGGCATTTTCTCAGAGCTGGGAAGTGGTGCCATTGATGGAGCCCGCTGCTTGCCATAAATATTATCGGCAGTTCTTACCTCAGGGCTGGAGGGATTGCTCAGTGGTTAGACCTGAGTTTGGTTCCTGGTATCCACATGGTGGCTCACAACCATGCGTGGGCACACACACCGTGCACATACATACATACATACATACATACAGTCAAAACACATAAAAAATAAGTGCTTTTTTTAAAAGTGAAACTATAAAAAACTTTTTTTTAAAAAAAAGTATCCTTACCTTGCCTTCTGTAGTGCGGGTGTTTTTAGCGCATTTCACAGACGAGGCAGCGGAGCCCCAGAGAAATTCAGTCGCTTTCCAAGGATCACACAGATCACAGAGCAGACAAGGCGCGCCCAATTTTGCTCTGTTGTGGCATGTTTCTAAACCCTTTCCAAGCTGACCAGGGGACCCTTTTGACTTCTGGGTCCCCTCGAGTCTGATCTTGTGGGTGGGAGCAGAGCTAAGGAGGCCATTGGCCTGGGGGGGTAAGGCAGCGACAGAAAGAAAAGTGTAGACGCGGGTCCTGACTCTCCTGGCCTCTTCCTTTGGAAGCAGGCAGCAGTAACTCATGTCACGTTACCCCACGGGCATCCGTGAGACTGACGCCCAACACACTGAGGGGCGGGCGACTCACACAGCTGGGCTGTGCTCAGGGTGGACATGGGCCACTGTCTTCATTCGCTCCGTGGGACTCTCTTTTCCTCACCTGGAACGTTCTGCAGCCACCTTTGAGGCCTTCCTCTGGACGGTGGGTTATGGGCTCTGCCATACAGGTGGGGCAGCTGTGGCTAGGAGGGGTGTTGTGTGTGTGGGGGGGCGGTTCTGTAGTGTGGCTTGGAGGGATGTCGTGTGGGGGGGGTTCTGTAGGTCAGGCCCAGCCGTGTGCCCACAGGTGGTGAGTTTCAGTAGCCTGCGGGCTGACGCCTCAGCACCCTGGATGGTCCTCTGTGTCCTGTGGTGTTCTGTGGGCCAGGCCCTGCTGCTGCCCGTGTTCCTCTGGACCTGTGACCGCTACCGGGCAGACCTCAAGGCAGTCTGGGAGAAGTGCGTGGCCCTTATGGCCAATGATGAGGACTCTGACAACGGTAAGGATGGCCTCCGCGTGGCCTCTGGGGAGAAGGCAGTGCCTGGGTGAGATCACCGGGTGTCACCAAAATAGTCATTTGGTATAACCCCCCCACCACATGGCACTTAGGTGGGCCCCCTCACCGCCACCAGGTAGTCCCATGGCCATCGGCTATGTGCCAGGAGCTGTCAGCCTGCCTGGGTATTTAGTCCCAGGGAGTTCCCGCCCCAAGCCTCAGAGGAGCAAAGGAGCGCTGTCAGCCTTCGGACTCACAATTAACATGTGCTGGGATTTGAACTCGGAACCCTTGCCTGCCCTTCCCGCAAACTGCTCCCTTCCTTATGGGGAATCCCCTAAAACCTTCCCGATGCCCCCCATTTCCACGGTGCTCTGCTTCTGTCCTATCCGGCAGAGACCAGCCTAGATGGCAGTATCTCCCCCGACCTGGTACTGGAGCGCTCCCTTGACTACAGCTACGGAGGTGACTTCGTGGCCCTGGAGAGGGTGGCCAAGTATGAGCTTTCTGCCCTGGAGGGAGGCTTACCCCAGCTCTACCCTCTGCGGTCACTGCAGGAGGATCGGATGCAGTATCTGCAGGTAGGTTGAGGCACAGCAGAGGGGCCTCGGAAGTCCCTCTCTCTCTCTCTCTCTCCTCTCTCTCCTCTCTCTCTCCTCTCTCTTCTTTCCCCCTCTCCTCCTCCTCTCTCCCTCTGTTGCTTGCATGCAGCATGAACGCGCAGATCAGTGGCAGTGGGTGGCTGTCAGCCCCGAGCTTGCCTCGAGGTCACAGTCTATGTGGGTGGGCCCAGCCCGGTGCTCTGGACAATGGATCCATTGGTGTCTGTGTCTGTGAACCTTCCCTTCCCATGAGACTTCTCCCCCAACTGACCCCAAGCTTCAGGCAACACCGAGGTTCAGAGAGGTTGTCACTTGCCCCAAATCTCAAAGCTCCGATCCAAGGGGGCCCTAGTCCCTGACCCACACACTGCTCTGCAGGGCGCGGGGAGGCATCAGTGCGGGTTTCCAGGAGGGCAGCCCCGTTTCAGCCCGGCCGGGTGCTCGCAGGTGCCGCCCACACGGCGGTTCTCCCACGATGACGCCGACGTCTGGGCGGCCATCCCGCTGCCCACCTTCCTGCCGCGCTGGAGCTCTGGCGAGGACCTGGCAGCCCTGGCACACCTAATGCTGCCCGCGGGGCCCGACCGGCGGCGCGGGAGCCTGCTGGCTTTCGCCGAGGATGCGCCCCCATTCCGCCCGCGCCGTCGCTCGGCAGAGAGCCTGCTGTCCCTACAGCCTTCGTCCCTGGACGGCGGCCCGCGTGGCACCCACGACTCGCCTCCCGGCAGCCCGCGTCGCCGCCCGGGGCCCGGCACCCGCTCCGCCTCGGTCTCGCTGCTGCCGGACGCCTTCGCGCTGACCGCCTTCGAGCGCGAGCCGCAGGCCCTGCGTCGTCTGCCCGCCCCAGCGCGGCCCTTCCCCGCCGCCCACGACGGCACGGAGCCTGGCGAGGTCCCGACGCCCCCTAGCGGCCGTGCGCAACGCAGCCACGGACGCCGGGCCGCGCGCGCACACGCGGGGCCCCTGCAGACCGGCCTGAGCGCCTCGTGGGGCGAGCCCGGAGGCTTGCACGCGGCGGGCGGCGGCAGCACCAGCAGCTTTCTGAGCTCGCCTTCCGAGTCCTCGGGCTATGTCACGCTACACTCGGACTCGCTGGGCTCTGCGTCCTAGGGCCCTCCCTGGTCCTGCCCGGAGACGCCATGTAGACGGCGTTGGCACAGCACCAAAGATGCCACCGCATGTGTTAGGCGCGTGGACAAGTGCCACCCACCCTAGGGGTGGATGGATGGTGGACTCTGCGCCCCTTTTACGGTTCCTTCCTTCTGATATCGCGGGGAGGGGCAACGGCTGCACAGGACACTGAGCTGCTCTGGGGTCATCTCCCAGGAAGGGACAGGCTGTGACTTTGTAGTGAGTGGCGCCTGCACGTTTAGCACACCTCCCGCAGCCCTCTGAGGCTAGGCTGGGGTGTATAGGGGACCCTGCGACCCAACCGCCATGAGAAAGGACGAAGTCCCTTCTCGGAAAAGCTTAAGCCAGAAGCTCCTAGACAGCATCCATCTTTACTCGCGCTGCACCCGCTTCATCTCAAGGGTGTGGCATGGAAGACATCTGCAAGCACAGGGGGTCTTCAGAGCCGGGACAAGGTCAACTGAGCAGGCGTCCCTGAGACCTGCCTCGGTTTCCCTGTCTCTGATGAGTGGATGACCATGACACATCTCTCAGGGCTGTTTGGACACCCCACCCACCCACCGTCCTTGAATGGCCCAGGCGTGAGAGGTAGCCTAGGGCCGTTTGTGAGGGTCAGCCTTCAGCGCATGGCCCCCAGATCTGAGGTCTCGATGACCCTTACCCTCTTGGAGACTCCCCTCAGCTAAAGCACAACACCACCATGGGTATAACAGTCACCTTGACCCCCCACTAGCGTCCCCATGCTCGAGACTCCACCACACCGCCCGTCTCCCACTGTATCCGCCCCTTCCGTGATCCTGCCGCGGAGGCTTGTGGGTACCTGGTGCAGGGAGCTAAAGCAAATGGAAGCGGGCTCGCTGTCTCGGTGCCCATCTCCAGCTTTGCCTCTCACCCACACAGACAGAGGCCCCACAGAGGTGTCCTGTACCCCTCCTCCTCCGCAAAGAAGGGCTTTGCTCTCTCCCGCCTAGTAGACCTCTCTCCGGGCTTGGGCTGCGCCGGGGACATAGCTCTTCCCAGGAGATACCCGGGCTGGGGGTGGGGTAGCACTGCCAGGGCACAGCAGAGCCTCTGTGCTGGGACCTGGAGATGGCCCCGAGGCCAGCACAGAGCAGCCTGTGCCCCGTTCTCCTTGCCCAACGGCCAGGCCCGTCTCCTCTCCCTCTCCTCTCCCTCTCCAGAGGGAGTTCCGAGTCCAGTTGGGCGTGGGGTGGGTGTCTGCTCTATCCTGCAGGTCTCAGAGGTCCCTGTAGTGCCTGGTTTGTGGGCTACGTGAAAGATGAGCTGCCCCAGGTGACTGGGGCAGGGACTGCAGTCCGTCCATCCCTGGCTATCTGCTGCTGTGCCTTCCGGGACTGATGTCATGTGGGGGCAGGGGCCACTGTCTCCCTCACTGGCCTCAAACCGTCACTTTATCACCTTGGGTTTTCACTCTGTTTTGTATCCAATGGCAATACTTGTATGGGCACATAGTCCTCTAAGTCACTCCTACTTTTTACAGAACTTTGAGGGCAAACCCCAAGCAGAGGACCCTAGGCGCCCAGGGCTCTTTCTCCCTGTTTGCTGACGCCTGTTAGGACTTTACTGGTAAGAGTGCTACCCATATGAACCCACCCAGCCCAGAGTCAGGGATTTGTTTGTAGACTTTTGAAAAACAGCATTTCTCTTCTGTACAGGACCCAATAAAAACTTCCTCGTGGTTTGCACACAGCCTTCTGAGGCTGGTTTGCAGAAACCTGTTTTCACCAGGGCTAACCATCCACTCCCCAAACCTCTCTGTGTGTAGAGCCTGAAGCCTAAGCAGTCCCAGCTAGCCAGGGAGACAGACCTGGGCTCACAACAGCAGGAAGTCGTGGACGGGCCCCGAAGCCCGCTGGTCAGAGAAAAATGTCCTCTGTCACGGGTGACAACCTGGGGCCAGGATTTATTTGATTATCACTGTGAACTTGACTCCGTACAGCTAGGACTGGGTGTGTCCTTTGAGACCTCAGTGGAATTCACGGACCACTCCTCCGGGTCCTCGTTGAGAGGCCGCCACCCAGCGGTAGAGGAGGGGAAAGTCTTGGCTTTTCTCCCACCCGACTAGCGGACCAGAGGCCGCCTGAGATGGCCCGCGCTGGACTCTGTACTGGTCCCGGCTCTAGAAAGCCCGCTGTGTGGGGGTGGGTTAGTGTGGGAGAGTCAAGTTGCTGAGAATCCGGAGTAGACCAGAGCGTGTTTATCCGCAGGGCAAGAGCCTCCCCAAACTTGATATTACCCTCAGGTGTTTGGTATCCGTGGTGCGCTCGCACCCAGTCTTTATTCAGAATTGCATGTTGGCGCTAGGAGGTGCTGGCACTTCCGACTGCACCCCAGGCTGGCCCACGACGGGAGCCTACGAGGGCTCAGAAGGCACTGTGTGGTCTCGGGTACCGGTCTTTGCCGAAGTGCCGAGGTTCGCGCTGGCAGTGCTGCGCAGCGATGGGTGGGGCCTGGTACTCTAGATTGCGACGAGACGCGGCCGGCGTCCGAGCACGCAAAGAACCTTAGAGGCGGAGCCCACGCTCCGCGCCAGCGCCCCACAGCCGTGGGCTTCTGCGAAGGGAGGGTCTCGGAGAACGCGCCCGCAGGGTGGGCCCGGTGCAGAGGGGATGGGTTGCGAGGGTCTTGGGTGGGGGCGGGATGGGATGGGAGCCCATCGCTCCAGGGGCGGAGCCCGGCGCGCTTTGTGCCCGTGGGAACAGAGCTCCCCAGGCTGGTTGAATGCACCAGGGCGGGGCAGCAATTCTCCTCGCTGCGAGGGGTCCGCTCTGCGCCGCTGGCGACCGCGACCTTCCCACCGTGACGCAACTGTGGAGGGGGGGCAGGGGCGGACTGCCAGCCCTGGGTCCCTGGGAAAGGGGCACAGCCCACATGTCCCCTCCCAGCTCCACTAGAGGTGGGAGGAGGGGAGCTGGTTTGGCTGGTGGGTGGGCTGGAGTGGGTCAATTCACCTAGACGTGCAGACCGCATCCACAGGGGGCCACCTATTAAAAGAGTCCCCGCAGTCACCATGGGTGCACCCAAAATAGTTTCTGTGTCCCAAGACGAGACGGTGGTTGATGGGAGTGGGGGAAGGGTCTTGCGTCTGAATCTTCGCCTAGGCCTCACCAGGGCCGCCACACCCCAAGGCCGGGTCTGGAGCTTTCCTCGGTTTGGCAGTTTGGCGCTGGTTGTGGTGCTGGAACGCCGGTAGAGGACTCGGGGAGACCCCTAGGGAGAGGGAGTGGGGACAGCGGGGACTGGGAGCCTCCGGCCGCGGAAGCTGGAGCCCAGACCGCGGGGAGGCAGGGGCTAAGAACGGAGACCGCCTGCGGGCTGGCGCTGTCCATGGTGCTGCCTGCCCTGCGCTCGAGCACCAGGGGGCAGCGCAGGCCACTGCTGTCCCCTCCGCGCCGAAGCCGCTGGCTCACGCCGGGCAAGCAGCCTTGGAAGCCAGACGGGTAGTCGACCCCACTGGGTACTGGCCAGAGTCCTGGTGAGAGGAGGGGGGGGAAGAGAACAGATGAGAAGAGGTGTGGAGGATAAAAGGGAGAAGATGGTCTCCTGGGCGGGGTACAGCTATGTTCACACTCAGGCTGCAACGCTACAGCCAGGCAGACAGGGCTTAGCCGCCCTTCCCCACTCCACTCCAGCTAGGTGGTGGGCCCTCCTCACTTAGCTGTTCACCTCAGCTCTCCTCTCTGCCTATACCCATCCCACTCCCAGGCCACCACGGGATAGCTCAGACTGCTCTCCAACTCTCCATCCTCTTGCCTCCGCTTGCCACGTGCTGGGTTTACTGGAAAACCACGCCACGCCTAGCCCCAAGACTTCATGGCTAGCTCTCATACGCGCCCCCCCGCCAGTGTCGCGCTGTAGATCTTCAACTACCTTGCAAGGAATTCTGAAGGCTTTTCATGTACTTGACACTCAGCTCCAGGATGTCAGCCTTTTCCAACTTCCGTTTCCGTATCTGCCAAGCCATAAGATGCTTTTTAACAGGTAGACTGGGGAAGGGCTGGGCCAATCGCTCCCTTCCTCTCCTGTCTTACCTGATGCGAGTAGTGTCTCTCCAGAAGAGACTTGAGCTGTTCTAGGGACACGTTGATGCGTGCACGGCGCTTCTTCTCCATCAGAGGCTTGGAGATCTGTGGGCCAGCCCGTAGCTTTTAGAGGAAAGGCTTTAGCTTTCCAGGCCTCCACTCCCCCCGGCCCAGGGGTTCCCACCCCAGGGTTTCTCACCCCATACCCTTCAGGACACCAGACCTTTCGGAAGCCGCTGGCTGAACCACTGGGGCTGCCCCTCGGCGTGGGCTCAGTGCCCATCTTGTGGTGTCTGCGGAAACAGTAGACTGCATTGCCTTTATAGGGGTACCTCGTTTACATGTCAATGAGGCTCTTGAAGCTGGCAAAACCCAGAGGGGGAGGGGACAGAAAAGGGATGCAGGGGAGCTGTCCCTATGTCCCTCTATGGGTTCCTTGCCAATAACCCAGGCTGCCTCTGGGTTTCAAGATGCTTCCTGTTTCCCTGAGCACTCCTTTCCTGTATTTTTTCTCTTCTATTCCTTGACTCACCACTGAAGACTTTTCCCAAGCCCATCCTCTCCAGACGTTGTTGAGCCAGCTACTGTAGGTCTGAACCTCACCACTGTCTCTACTTGTCAAGTCCTGGCTGCAGCTTATCTCCTCATGTTCTTCTGGTGGCCCTCCAGTGTCACAGGGAGCTTTGTGCTCCGCATGCCACCCTAGATGATGAGGATGGAGCCCCGGGTGTCATGAGGTCTGATGAAGACACTGAGGAGTGCTGGCCAGCGACGCCTTTCACGCCCTGCCACGCTGTGATGCTGATTTGCTCGCCCTAATGTCAGGACAATGTAGCAATTTTCTGCCTGTGGCTGCTCAAAGCCTGTCCCAAGCAGGGCCTGCGGAGGCCGTGCAGCAACATGTGTCCCATTAAAGCATGCAGCCCGCAGGGCCACGATGGGCCTCCTCCTTCCAAGGACCCAGTCACTGGGGTATTAACTGATAGGACCCAATGCGGAGACTTGCAGTTAGGAGGCAGGCCACCCCACCCCCAGCCCTGGGGTCCCAGGCTTGTAAGTATGGTGAAGGCCCAGTCTTTAAGAGAAAATCACCTGAGCCGGGTGTGGCAGTGCACGCCTTTAATCCCAGCACTCAGGAGGCAGAGGCAGGCGGATCTCTGAGTTCGAGGCCAGCCTGGTCTACCGAGTGAGTTCCAGGACTGCCAGGGCTACACAGAGAAACCCGTCTAGGAGGAAGGAGGGAGGGAGGGAAGGAGAGAGAGAGAGAGAGAGAGAGAGAGAGAGAGAGAGAGAGAGAGAGAGAGAGAGAGAGCACGCTAGCAACTGGGGTTCAGTTCCTGTGGGCCTTAAGTTCAGAGAGTAGGGCGTTGGGATGAGGACCACTGGCAGCTTGGAGGAAAGTCCAGACTGCATTGAATGTCCCTGTACACCTTCCATTTTCCGTAATGTGAGGGCACAGGAGGCTCTGGAACCTCCTGCTTGCTATGGGACAGGGCTGTAAAGCACTCACTCCACCCCCAATGGACTGTGATTGACAAGGCTGACTCCAGGGAAATTCTTGTTTTCAGACCTCTATAGCTCCTTTTCTTGCACTCTCCTGGTCTCAGTTTGGGAGCCAGGATACTGAAAAGTGGCATTCCTGACAATGCCTATGAGGCCGTAGGAAGGCGCACAAATCCTACAGAAATGACCTCAAGAGGATATTGTTGGGTCAAGATGCCCCCAAACCGGGCATCTTTCTGGCCCCTCTTCTCCCTCCCCACTTCTCCTACCGCCCCCCACCCCCGCTCTGGCCATTGACCGGCCGTGTCGGTGCGCTCCCAAGCGCCAAGCAGCGTGGAGAATCGAGCCCCGCCCTCCCCCTTTCAGGCCTGGGCAAAGGCGACCAGAACTCTGGAACGTTCTCTTGCCCCCACACCCCCGGCTTAGGACGGGTGGCCCAGATCCGGGTGGGTTTGTACCCTGGGTTGATGACGGGGCTGAAGTCCAGTGGCCAGCGCTGCCACGCGCCGGGTAGCTTTAAAGCGCCAGGGCCAACCCGGCCGGGACTGCCTCCGTGCGCCTAGCTACGGCTTTGGGGAGGTGGCGGCCCGGTACAAAGGCGCCGCGGGGCAGGCGGGCGGGAGGCTCGGCACAAAGGGGGCAGCCGAGTGTTAAGGGCATTGTGCCGGTTGCACAAAGCGGCGCCCGCGCCCGCCTTCTCGGGGGCCAAATTCCCGGCTCCCCGCGGCGCACTGACTTCCAGCTGCTGCACATCTGTAGAGAGGCCGGGCGCGCGCCTCACTTCGACGGGTCCCCTCCACCCACCTCGCTCTCATGCCAAGCCAGAAGCGGAGCAATTTGTCTTGTAATTACAATACTTCCCCATAAACTGCTGCCCGCGCCTTTCAGTCCCGTGCATTAGCAAACCAATAGTTCCGCACACAGCTTTCCCGGCGCACTCCGGGGCGCTGGGCTCTGGTCCCCGCCCCCTCTCCAGAATTAGGGTCACTATAAAGTCCCGCTCTCTCGCTCCCGCCCGCACCCCCCACTGTTTAGGCCATCACCCCTCACAAGCCTATGCCCAGGGATCCCGGCTGCACTGGGTGGGGCCGTTCATGTGGGTGGTTAAGCGTTTCTTAGGTAATGGAAAATTGACCACAAAATGTACTAATCTGCAATGTTCTGCTTTGGCTGGGGGAAGTGAGGCCCGCCACGGGGCCAGGACCGGATTCACAGCGGTTGCTCCCTGCTAGCATCTGCTTAACTGGCCTACGGCTGCATCAGGCCTCTCCTGCCCCTTTCCCGCGCGCGGGCCGGTCCTTGGACAGGGGTCTCTCTACCTGTGAGAACTTCCCAGCTTTTCCTTCCTTTGCCGATATAAAAACATCCCCCGCCTCAATGCTTGCTCCTGTGGCTGAGGTTGTGCAAGCTCCTGACCACGAGGGACCCCTCCATCTCCCCCCCTTTCTCGCCCCCAGCTCCGAATCAGCCCCCTTCCTTCCACTAAAGTAGCTTCCATTATTACCGCTTTGTCCTCTATAGAGGCAGCCTCTGCTCCCACTAAGTTAGAGCCAGACCTTTTACATCCAGCAAGGTCACTGGAAAAGGTGACAGGTGAGGAGAGTCAGGCTGAGGACTGGTGTTCCATCTGTCCAGGAGGGATGTCTCACCTGCGCCTTCAGGCGGACCCACCAGGGAGAGAGGGAATCGTTCCCAGAGGTGAGGAGAGACAGCTGCTCCCCTTACCCTCTCTGAGCAAGCTGGGCACAGGACTGTCTTTGGACTGCCGGGAAGGTCATGGACCAACTTAGAAACCCTGCTTATGCAAACCAGGATATAGGCCACCAGCTCCCTTTCTGCCTTCAGCACGCAGGGTCCCCAAGGTACCTGGAAAGGAGCACAGGCCCAGGAGGAGCAAGGGGGGAAACCTGGGCCCCTTTTGCTCATTCAAGGAAAAACTGTTTGCTCTCAGCCCACCCTCACTCCACCCCCTTCTCACTCTGAGGGATCTGAGGGTGAAAATGAACCTTTGTGTCTTTTCCACTGGTTTTCTCTACTTCGGCAAAAGGACACGCCGGTCTGGAAACAAAGTGGAGAAGGGGTTTGAAGCCCCCAAACGTCCCATCCTAGACACCAGCCCTCGGCTGCCCAGGGTCCTGAGTGGTGCAAGCCTTCTTCCCTACACGTATGGCTTTAGACCGATGATGCTAAATGATGAGCCTGGAACAGACCGCTGTGCTAACCGAAGGAGGAAGCCTGCTCGGCTCTGCAGATGTGCGCTCTGCAGATGTGCTTCAAAGTGGGACGAAGGGACGGCTGTGTGTAATTAACTATCAGCAACACAGCAAAGGCCCCGAAATGACTCAGCTGATTGTCTCCAGATGGGGCTGGAGAGGCTGCAATTGTTTAACTCTCTTTAGCTGCCTTGAGACTTTGAATTGTGCAGCAGCCAAGGGCCCTTCAGGGGACAAAGGCTGGGCCTTCAGTGAGTGCATCAACACTGACCAGGCCGGCCCAGCTTAGGAAGAGTGAATTCAGAGAGACCCTCTTTGTGCTAGCCTTTTGTGTCTCCCCAGAGCTGGCTCTAATCTTTAAATATTTACCCGGCCTCTTTGTGCGCATGTGACTTATGCACCGAGGGTTGATGTACTCATAAATCACATGTCGGTTACCAGACTGCAAGGAAGAGCTGTTTTTCATTCCTCCATCCTGTGACTGCAGGAGGAGAGGAGGAGAAGAAATCTTCTTTTGGAAGACCCGGCTGTCTCCAGTGGAGACCCATAGCCATGCTGAGCTGACTCCTCCCCACTGCCCTCTAGATAGGCCAGAGGCCCCGAATAGCCAGGCAGGAGCTGCAGGGACAGAGCAACAGCCCTCTGCAAAGGACTGATCTGGCATCCATCACTGAGGAGGGGGATATGAGCATCCTGGGCTTTCCCCCTGCTTGGCTTCAGGCTCGAATGAAATAACACGAGCCGGCTTTCCCCCTGGGAGTTTTGTGTGTAGGATGTGTGGCGTGTCGACGCTTATCTCATCCATGCCTCTGTGTATCGTGCCTCGGACTCACTTTCCTCTTCACACTCTCTCTTGCTCAATAAAACCGTGGTGCTTAAGAGACACAAGTCTGAGCCAGGCATTGGTGGCACATGCCTTTGATTCCCAGCACTCGGGAGGCAGAGGCAGGCGGATCTCTGTGAGTTCAAGGCCAGCCTGGTCTACAGCGCGAGTTCCAGAACAACCTCCAAAACAATACAGAGAAACCCTGTCTCGAAAAAACAAAGCAAAACAAACAAACAACAAACAAACAGAGAGACATAAGTCTGGGGGCTGGAGAGATGGCTCAGTGGTTAAGAGTGCACACTGTTCTTACACCCGTAAACCCAGCTCCAGGGGCTTCTGTTTGCCTTTGGCCTCCACTGACCCCTACACTCACACATGCACACACACACACACACACACACACACATGCACACACTTTAAGATAATAAAGCTAAATCTGAAAAAGAAAGACGGACGGTTTATTTCATCTCAGCTTGTGGTTTAACTCGGAAATGCTGAGGTGGTTCTTAGTGTTGGTAATTGCCTCAAATCCTGAAGGCTGAGCCATCGAGAGAAATATGCCCAGATATCAAAACCAACCCAGCCTGCTTCCTGTCAAATGACAAAATACCTGTAACTTCCCACAGCTACCTACACACGTGGGTACACATGTCCCCAGCCTCTCTAGGTGCACACAGCCTTCATCCAGAGGAGAGACTGGGGCCTCTCGCTGTTCCAATGGAGCAGTCCCAGCCTGTGCAGATGAAGTCTGTCTGCTTCTCTGCCTCAATTTCCTTATACTTGTCCCAGACAGGAAAATTGCTTTAGCCAGTGGTGGCATCTAAGGACGGGGAAGGCATGGGCTGCCGAGGGACCCTACTGCCTGGGAAGGAAGGAGCTCCTCTTGTGCTGGTCTGGAAGCTGCTAGGGCAAAACATATTCAGATGCTTATTTTCAAGAAAAGGAGCCGTGCATCCCAGAACTGGGCACCTTCCCTTTTTTCCTTCCCTTTCTGGAGACCTGTCACCTCCCGCATTCGCATGGAGAGCTGGGTGGTCACTCAGTGAGACTGTCCGGTGAGGCTCCTTTCCTCTCTGGTGGAAAAGCAAGCCTGTTTCCTGGGCATCTGGATGCAGTCCTCTCTGTGTGCGATTGCTTCCCCGGGTCAGTGCACGCTCTCTGACCATAGCCCTGGGTATATGCGTGTTCTCCATGTGGCTGTTCCTCGGGGTATGTGTACTCTGTGTATAACTGTTTCCCTGGGTATATGTACTCTGTGCGTGTAATTATATGTGGCTGTGTGAGTGCTGTGCTGTGTGTGGCTGTTTCCCTGGGTAGTGTGCTCTGTGCATAGCTGTTTCCTTGGGTATATATACTCTGTGTGTAACTATATATGTGGCTGTGTGTGGCTGTTTCCCTGGGCAGTGTACTCTCTGGATGTGATTGCTTCTCTGGCCATAGGCATTCTGTAGCTGTTTCCCTGGGTATATGCATCCTCTGCGTGACTGTTTCTCTGGCTATACACATGCCCAGATGTGTGTAAACCTGCCCGCTTCCCTCTCCATCACTGCGCTGAGTGCTAGCCCCTGACAGCTTCAGCCATCCCAGCGATCCCTAAAAAGTTCACATTCCCTGTGGTGCAGCCCCATCTGGCAGAGCACATGGTTTCCTTTCTCTGACCTCTAGGATAAAGGAACTGGGGCCTCGGGGGAGGTGATGGGCAGAGGACAGAGTGGCTCAAACTCTCCGGTCAGTTACACTTTGCTGGTTGTCTAAGAGTAGAGATCAAAAGCTCAGGGCCTAAGAAGAGGCTTCTGCCAGAGAGGGTGCTGTGCCTCCTGGTCAAGAGCCCTCCCTGAAGTGAGGGGCAGCAAGCACCCTCTAGTGGCTCTGACGTTTCCCGTCTCCGGGTAGAGGTCCCAAGTCTGGGGACGCCATGAGGAACACGCAGTAGCCTGAACTGCTCTCAATCCCTGTAACAGTAAAACCCAGGCTTCCTTCCAAGGTAACACTGACCCTCAGTCACCCTAATGTCCTGCTTAGCCTCTCGTGTCAAATTGACACAGCCTAGTTGTCTGAGAAGAAAGCCGATTCTGGACAACATTCCTCAGACAGGTGGCACTGGACTTAAGAGAACGTTAGCCAAGGATGAGCAGTGTTCCTCCATGGTTCCTGCCCTGACTTCCCTCAGCGATGGACCATGATCTGGAAGTGTTAACCCAAATGAACCCTATCCCCCTCAAGTTCCTTTTGGCAAGGGTTTTATCACAGCAACAGAAAGGAGGCTAGAGTCCTATTTGGGGTGTGTGTATGTTTGTGCGTGTGTGTGTGTGTGTGTGTGTGTGTGTGTGTGTGTGTGTGTGTGGTGTGTCTATGTGTGTGTGTGGTGTATGTGTATGCTTGTGTGTGTGTGGTGTATGTGTATGCTTGTGTGTGTATGTATGCATATGTTGCTGGATTTCATCGTAAATGAACCATTAAATTTTTCCCATTCCTACCACCTCACTTTAACAAATGTCTCCCACTCACGATAGAAACACAGCGCCAGGCTCTGTAGATTACCCTAGTGTCACCCTTGCAGGTCACTGTCCACCACTGAGGGAAGTCAGGGCAGAACTCAAGCAGCTCAGCAGACGTCATGGAGGAGGGTCTCTACAGCTCGCTCACCTGCCAAGGAATGGAGCCCCCACCATGGACCCTCCTACATCAATTAATAATCAAGATGATACCTCACAGGCAGGTCATGGACCACCTGACAGATGCAATTCCTCAGTCAAGGCTTTTCTTTTCAGATGCCTCTAGGCTGGGTCAAGGTGACAATCAGGATTAAGCAGGACAGCAGATGATGTCAGTCCAAGACGGTGAAATGAGGATTCCATTTCACAGGAAGATGAGGTTCACAAAAGCTACCCACCTTAGGTCACCAAGATAGGATGTGGGGGTACCAGCCCAGGTTCTCCACTCCCACGCCCATGCCTCAGGGCTCCTGCCAGGACCTGCTGCTGTGCTCACATGCAGGGCTCCCCACAGCCGCCTGCCCTCAGCTTCTCCTGGGGCCTGCGTAGGCTTGCTCCTTCCTGCCTCTGCCTTTCAAATCCAGGGCCAGCTGTTGGTTCCCCAACAATTCGATTCCTAGTCTCCAGGCTGGTGGAGACGGCTGGATCCTGAAGCCTTCCAAACACCCTCCCTATCCTGCAGTCCTCGAACCCAAGGGTTTCTCTCCTGGACTCAAACCAAACCAAACAAAGCAACCCCACACTCCATGGACTGGGGAGATAACTCAGTCATTAGGCCGCTTGTCTGCCATACGAGAAGCATTCATTTCAGTCCCCAGCACCAGACAAAACTCGGGAGTGATGGCTCATGTCTGAAATTCCAGCCTTCCGGAGGGGAGAGGCTGGAGGAGTGGGAGTTCCAGGACATCTCCCAGATACCAATTGAGTTCAAGGTCGTCCTGGGTGGCAGAGGAGCGCTTTGTCTCAAAGGCAAAACCAGGCTGGGTGTGTGGCCCGTGCCTTTCCTCCCAGTACGAGGGAGGCAGAAGCAGGTGGCTCTCCGCGTGGTGGATCCCAGACTGGCCAAACCCACACGGTGTTGCGCCGCACAGATACACACAAGTACTGTATAAATCTGAAATGACGGAAAGTGAGGGAGAACTTCCGGCTTCAACACTTAGCATCTTCATCGGCAGGCAGTATGGAAAACGCACACATACAACACCGATTACAGGTCAGTAAAAAGCGCCCAGCATGCTGCTGCTACCTAAAGGTACAAACAGATTCCAGCCCTCCTCCCAGGCTTTCCCTCCCAAATCAAGCATCACAAGGTTTGGAGCGCTGTCTGTAAAAACAAACAAAAAAATGTATAAATAAGTAAATAGGTAGAACCCTATGTATTTCCACTTAGGAGGGGGTGATCCCGTCCCAGGGAGGCCCCCGAAGGCTGGTCTTGAAGGACCCGTCGCCCGGTCCGCAGACCCCGCCCTGTTCTGGGGCCGAGGCACGAACGAGGAGGGGCGGGTCACGCCCAGTCGCCTCTGGGGACCGGGGTTCTAAAACTCGGGATGAACTTCGCCAAGACGGCGAGGCCACTTCCGGGATGGCCCGTCGCCCCTCTGCTGACGTCACGTCCCGCCCCTCGCCCCGCCGCGCCCCGCCGCGCCGCGCCGCGCCGCGCGCTCGGCATCATTCTCGCGAGAACCCTACCGGCCGGCAGCACGCCGCTCCGGGTGCCTGCCCTTCCCGAGCCGGCGTCAGCGGCGGAGTGCGCAGGCGCGGCCTTCGGGTTTCCCCGGCTACGGTCGGCGTTTCGGCCCGCTCGTCCGCCGCCGGCTCTTCCGCCGCCCTGCGCCATGGCGGGCTGCGCGGCGCGGGTTCCGCCGGGCTCCGAGGCGCGCCTCAGCCTCGCTACCTTCCTGCTGGGCGCCTCGGTGCTCGCCCTGCCGCTCCTCACGCGCGCCGGCCTGCAGGGCCGCACCGGGCTGGCGCTCTACGTGGCCGGGCTCAACGCGCTGCTGCTGCTGCTCTACCGGCCGCCGCGCTACCAGGTGCGGGCCGGGTGCGGAGGGACGGACACCGGGGACGGGTGGACCGGGGACCGGGAACCGGGGGTGGCTGGTTGATCCGGACCAGGGACAGGGCGGGACGGACAAGCTGGACCGGTAGACCCCGCATCCCAGACCCGGGCCAGCGACAGGGTGGACCGACCGGGAGACCGAGACCAGGCGGGCACGGGACAGGGTGAGCCGAGTCGGTGGGGACCAGGGCAGGACCGAGCTGGCTGCGATGGGGCAGGGCGTGCCGAGTGCCCTGGAGCTGGAGAGCGGGCAGATGAGCCGGGGTGGACAGGGATCAGGGACCGAGCAGGCGGGGACCCGGCAAGAGTAAGGCGGGCCAGGAGCATCGGAACCAGGTAGATTGGGCTCGGGTATCAGGATCCGGCGGGCAGGGCCGAGTGGGTGACCTGGGGACAGGGAGTGGGTTTAAGGAGCCGTGTGTGTGTGTGTGTGTGTGTGTGTGTGTGTGTGTGTGTGTGTGTGTGTGTGTGTTACTAGCCTGGTGGCGGTCGCTTCACCTTTTAACCATCACCGCCACCACTCCCCCATATAAGTTGAGGTCACAGGAGGGACCCGCTTCTCCTAGCTGTGGGTGTTAATTGCATTTCCTGCCGATCCGCCGTGGATCGGCAGCGGCAGCTTCACGTCAGGTGGGAAGTGAGCTAACCCACGGGTGTTTAATTTATGTAACGACAGGTGTGGTGTGTTTCACCTGCTGGTCCAACGCCCCACTTCACGGAGGTGACTCGGGGGTTAGTGTTCCGAGCGTTGCCATTAGAGTCTTTGACTTGGCCGTATAGGCCTTGAATTGGGCTTCAACGGCTTTCCCCGTAGATAGCCCTGCTAATGCGAGCAGTAATAATAATTATTATTATTATTGTGGCTGTTAGAACTGGCTATTCTCAGGTGCTATCCGTGGTAACTGTGGTAAATCCTCCATGTTTCCCTACAGTACTGTTATTTCCATGGTGTAGATGGGTAAACTGTCATTTAAGTAACTTGCCGAGAGAGAGAGAGAGAGAGAGAGAGAGAGAGAGAGAGAGAGAGAGAGAGAGAGAGAGAGAGAGAGAGAGAGAGAGAGAGAGAGCGCAATTTGAATCCAAGCAACCCCATTTCATCCTCTTTATCTTTTGAGCAAGTGAACCCTGCTCCCTGATGACCTTGCTAACCGGCTAACCCTGGACAGTGCGGTCTGGGTTTGGGCTGTCTGCACTTGGGACTTGAGGTGACTGAGGCTCTTCTGGGTGTGTTTTCAGATAGCCATCCGAGCCTGTTTCCTCGGCTTTGTGTTTGGCTGTGGTGTGCTGCTAAGTTTCAGCCAGTCCTCTTGGAATCACTTTGGCTGGTAAGAAAGACCTGGGGGAATGACGGTGTTGAGGTGAGGGTCGGCAGAGTAGTGGGTGAGTAGGGGCCTCTCCTCATCCCCGAGTGGGCTGTGACCACAGGAGGCTGGCTAGGATCCTGAAGAAGCAGCCTCCTGCCTTCCCCGAATCCCCCACATTTCGAGTCTCGTGAACACAGTCGTGCATGTCAGTGGCTTTTGTGGTGGATGGAAACGGGTCCCCCGGTGCCCTCTCCAGAGGCTCCCTGCCACCCGAAGCTGCCGTGAGGAGCCATTCCCTGAAGGGGTGCAGGTCCGCGGTGATGGGAAGGGGCAAGCCTCCCGCTGTTTCCTAAGCCTTCTCCATCTCCGGTTTCTATTAGGTCCCGGCTAGTGCTTCCCCCAAGCCAGTGTAGGACTTTCCCCTACACTATGAGTTCAGTCCCTTGAGCCTTCTAGCCTCTGACTTGGATATGAATCGTGGCTTCAAGGTAAAACGCTTTATCTCCTATTATCAGTACGCTGAGCCGTCTAATCCTTCTTTGCTGGAATTATTTTAGTTCTGTTGAATTTTGTTTCCAACATGCATCACTACTTTGTTGATATCCTCCCCTTTCATGTTAAAATGTGAAGTTGTCATATTGAAAGCAGTAAAGGGACCATAACTCCCCCTTCACCTATGGAGATTTTTTTTTTAATTTTGTCTGTGACATTCAGAAACATAACAGCACCACTCAACCCCCACTTTTCTGCAAGCTCAAGAGGGAACGAATGGCCTGTGTGCCTGCCGGGCGTCACTCAGGTGGGTGATGGCGGCAGCGCATGACAGGGTTAGGGACAGCTCAGCAGACCCAGATCTGTGCTTTTGCCGACCTCGGTTCTCTTGCCTGGTCTACCGCTTTGTTTCTGTTTTTTGCACAGGTACGTGTGCTCGCTGTCATTATTCCACTATTCGGAGTACTTAGTGACAGCTGTCAATAACCCCAAAAGTCTGTCCTTGGACTCCTTCCTGCTGAACCACAGTCTGGAGTACACAGTGGCTGCTCTTTCTTCCTGGATAGAGTTCACACTGGAAAACATCTTTTGGCCAGGTGGGTGTGCCCTACTTTCCTGCGGGTTTAGGAGAGTGACATTGGCTCACCTTTCGGGTCTAATCTCCCCTGAGCAATACTCCCCAGCCCTCGCTCCTCCCTAAGCTATTTATAAAGGACAGGCTTCTCTCGCTGGAGAATTCTGCTTCAGTATTTCGAATCCAGGACGTGTTGACCTTTTGCAGTAAGCCTTGAGATTTCAGGGCACTGCCCGAGACGGAGCCTCACCTTGCTGGTTGTAATCTTAACATTGCCAGTGGACTAGATGAAGTTTGAGCCCGAACACTTTTCTGCAGCATGAGAATTTCACACGGTTTTATTATAAAACCAAACCAAACCTCTGTATTGGGAACACACCCAAATCACACTTCCCCAAAGCCGGGTGTGGGTCCTCGGACTGACTTGGAAACAGACCCGTCTCTTTCTCTCGGCAGTACACGTTCCCTAGGGAAGGATGTGAGTGAGTGTGTGGCTCTGAACGGAGCCCATCAGCCCAGGCAGGGAGAGCCGCTCACAGTTGACTTGTTGGCGCTTGAAACAAAACAGTGGTGCTGGGGTTGGGGGTTGTTTTCTTACCGCTCAAGTTTAATGTGACGATAGACGCTGATTGCCCATGGGGTGCCTTCTGGTGTCTCTCTCCTGAGGGAGGGGGGTCTGTTTCAGACAGTCAGTCATCCGCACCCCTGAGCCCCCACTCCCTGTGTGTCTCTGCAGAACTGAAACAGATCCCCTGGCTCAGCACCACCGGGCTGCTGATGGTGGTGTTTGGAGAGTGCCTGCGGAAGGCGGCCATGTTCACTGCAGGCTCCAATTTCAACCACGTGGTGCAGAGCGAGAAGTCAGACACCCACACTCTGGTGACGAGCGGGGTGTATGCCTGGTTCCGGCACCCCTCCTACGTGGGGTGGTTTTACTGGAGTATCGGGACCCAGGTATGGTACCAAAGTTGACCCTGGTTTCCTGTGAATTTACTTTTTCCTAAGTTTCTTTCTCCTTTGGTGTCTTGACATAGGGTCTTGCTGTGTAGTCCTTGTTTACTCGAACTCGTAACCTTCCTGTCTGGGCCACTCGACTATTTTATGTTTCTGAAAGTGTAAGTGGCACACCCTAAGGCCCATCAGTTCTAAGTTGTGTGTTTAAGTCTTTTTTAGTGGGTGCACACATTTCTAAGTTGTGCGTTTAAGTCTTTTTTAGTGGGTGCACACATTTCTAAGTTGTGCGTTTAAGTCTTTTTTAGTGGGTGCACACGTGGCCTGATGTCTCATCATGTGTTCCCTGGTGTGTTCCAGGTGGTCACAGCCCAATCTAATCTTTGGGTGTTTCAGAGGTGAAGTCTGGGCGCTGTTTTAAATCATTTACTTTAAACTTGAGGACGATTTATTCTTTTAAAGGGTAAGCCCCAGGGCGGCAGGTGGTAAGTGTGGCACCCATCAGGAGGTGAGCACAGAGGTCAGCCAGCTGCAGGGAGGGAGCGTCCCTTCAGGCCGGCATCAGAAGGGGAGGAGGAGAGACGGGCAAGCCTGCCTTCCTGAGTGGCGTGTGACCCCTCCCCTGGTGGTAGTGGTGCGGGCTGCCTGTGTTGCACCCTTTCTGCCTCTCTGCCTGGAATCTGGAACACCTTGGACGAGGGAAGGCGGGCTTTGGGGAGGGAATGTCCTCAGTCACCCTGTGGTGGCTCAGTGGGTTCTCATCAAAAAATAGGCCTGAACGAGGCCAAGGTCCTGCCAGGTTAATGAGAGCTGTGGGGTTTGCTCTGTCTGGGGATCCAGACCAAATTCTTCTTCTTGACAGCTGTCTCCGATTCTATTCTTAGTCCTAGAACAGCCTGGGTGCGAGGAGAGCCTGGGAAGATCACCTGGGCCCCCAGACATCCCCTCAGTGGTGCCCAGGCCGTGGGGACTCGGGTGACCCCGTGACGGCGTAGGAGGTGACTCTAGAATTTCTTTCAGAGCTGCGTCTCTGAGACGTCACGCTGCTCCGCTTGCTGTCACAGCCCTGGGATGGCACTGGTGGCAGCTGATGGATGTAATTTGTCATAAGTGCCTGTGCGACCTAAGGGCTTCAGAGCCGCAGGATTTTTCATGCCTCTTAGATCACTGGCGTTTTCTACAGCGTGCCCTTGGCATGCGTGTGTGCCTGCGGAGGAGGAGTCTTTGCTGCAGCGGTGCTTATCTTATACAAAACACTATTTTTTGTCTTTGCTGTTTGGAATGTTGCTGATGGCGCACTGAAAATTGGTTTTCCCGGCTCAGTAGAAGGTTGCCACTGATGATTGAGAATCCTGCCATCAAGGCTGCGCAGAAAGCTGCACACATTTGCCAGGTGTGATGGCAAGACCGGTGCAGCCCGATGCCAGTCCTGGTCACTGCCTTCTCTGCCCTGTAAGCCAGGACAGCAGTGTAGGGACAGTGCTTCTGAGTCACAGGTGGCCTGAAGGCTGAGTGGCTTAGCATACGCTGAGAACACAGCCAGTGCTCGGCGAGGAGTGCGGGGAGTGGTAGGAAGTTGGGGCATGCTTGCTTCCTGCGTGGAAGTATCACTGGACGAGCCCTGATGCCTGGAGTGGGTGTAGGTGGGGTGGGGTAGTGGTTTCCTCCGCAACAAAGGAAGCTCCTAGAGCTGGGGATACTTTCCGCTTTGGGGGGCTTTGTGGCTGGAGGACTAGGTTGGAAAGGGGGTGGGGATTAAAAAGAAGCCACCGTATGGAAGGCACAGCTTTTGTGATTTGGGCACGGCCACTCTCTGAGCTGAGTAATCTCTGAAAAATGTTTCAGAAGCTCAGATGTTAGCGTTTGGCTCACATGGCCTTAAGGGCGAAGCAAGGGTCCAAGACAAGCAGGTGTGTTCAAGTGGGCGGGTGGGGGGGGGTCAGGAGGACAGAGGCACGGGTTTGAGTTCCCACCACGTCAGGGAATTCACGCTTGAGTTCAGGCAGGGGCATGCACCAGCTATGACTGAAACCCAAGAGTATTGTCTCTCACTATAACCGGGGTCTTGCGTACTCGAGAGTCACAGACAGGTACAAAAAGACGCAGGGGTGCCCGTGGCTCTGGGGAACGTTGGCGGCTCTCACAGAAGCCTGGTGTGGAGAAGGTGCCTGGGCGTCAGGCCGCTCTGACTGGGCGTGTTGTGCTCCTCTGCCAGGTGATGCTGTGTAACCCCATCTGCGGTGTTGTCTACGCCCTGACGGTGTGGCGCTTCTTCCGTGACCGCACAGAAGAGGAGGAGATCTCACTCATTCACTTTTTTGGGGAGGAATACTTGGAGTACAAGAAGAGGGTGCCCACGGGCCTACCCTTCATCAAAGGGGTCAAGGTGGAGCTATGACAGGCAGAGAGGCCTGTGGGACCAGGCAGGCTCCGGCCCTGCACAGCCTAAGACAAAACTACATCCAGTTGGCCGCCTCAGAATGAGTTTCTTAATCATCTTGTATGTCACTAATTACTCCTCAGAATGTCACCCAAGACCCAGTGGTCAGAAGGCCTTAGCACCAAAGGGCACACTGCGGCGCCCCCTCTGCTTGTGTGGATGAAGGTAGAGAAACAGCGAACGAGGAGCGCGTCACAGCGCCCATGCGTGCCCTGTCCACAGTCTCAACACTGTGACCGGGATACTCGGGAGAGGACACTGCCCCCTGCAGCACTAACACCACAACACGTAGCCAGAGCTGCCGCATAGCGGCATTCAGAGTGTATCCAAAACCTTTCATTTCACCGAAAGCACAGCCCAGCTTTTCCCGTGTCTGCCCCTAAGTGCACGAGCGTCTGCTCACTCCAGAGCGCCTACACTGCTCATCATGTGTGTCATCATGTGTACACACCCGGTCCCCAAACACAGCGGTGTAGATTCAAAGGGACACCGATGCTTCCCGCCATGCTGTTTCTAAGACCAACAGGCAGCGCCGACCCCATCACATTGTACCCGGGCCGAGGATGCAGGCCCTGGGGTCTCCTGCAGCCCTGGCCTCAACGATTCTGTCCCCCAGGAGGTATTTCCCGGGTGCCTGTGCTGATGTTGAGAAACACTGCCCTCTGTGTGTTTGGGATTTTCTTTTCTTGTTTTATCATAGCTCATGTTTCCATATCTTTTGTGCTGCGTGTTAGCCTCTCACACTTGTTTTCTGTGTCCTTTCAAAGTCAGTCACCCTCGCTGCTGCTTCACGTGTGTTAGTTTGCTTTCCAGAGGGTCCAGCATCACTCCTGCACCTGCAAAAGAGTTGGGGCAGTAGCTCTCAAGTAGGCTCCGGTTGGGCGGCGCAACGCGGGCCCACGGGCACCCTTGTCCTGCGGGTCTGGGGAGGACATTCAGCTGTTTTTTGTTATTGCACATAAAAGCTTTAAGCAGTGCGGCCCTTGGTCAGTCTGGACTTGGTCTTGATGTGAGACCCTTCCTACCTGGGCCTTTGCTTTGTTCTCCGAGCTTCCACCCTCAGATGTAGAAGAGTCCTAGTGTGCAACAGACAAGCGTGCACACACCTGGGGAAGAATCCACTCTGAAAATTTTAGTGTGTGTCGACTAACACACTTGGCTCTGGTAAATGCGCGCTGCCACTGCCCCGAGCTTCCTGCCATCTCCAGCGGAATCCAGATCAGCCTGTAGAGTGCTGTGTGCAGCCAGGTTCTCTCAGACCCAAACACCTTCTGTCCGTCCGTCCGTCCGTCCTTCTCCTGAGTACGACTCTGTCCTCCAGGCCTCAGAAGACACCAGTGCGCAGAAGCACGTTTGGCAAACATTAGGCCAGGCTAGGCCCCAGCAGCGGTACTGTTGATAAGCACGCTGGCAGCTTGCTGTACCTAGGCTGCGTCTCCACCAGGTACCACAGTGTGGGCTTGCTAATTACTGGCAGCCTTGGGACAGCAGTCCGAGGAGTGGGTGCTGCGCTGGGCTTTGATGTTGGCAGTGGTGGCAGTGATATCCTTGGGAACCGCATCACAACAGTGCAGCCAGCAGGAAACATTCATTTACCTTGGTGGCCCATGAGTCCTCGGTTGGCTGGCTCAAGGCAGGACTGGTGTCCTCTGCCTCAGCAGAGATAAGGGGCTCATGTGGCTGGTGAGAATTAGGTGTGCAGATGTTTCCTGTGAACACTCAGGCTCAACGACTCCAGAGGACATAGTGATGGAGGGTGTTCTGGCCAAGAGGGCGGTAAGGTTGATGCGGGCGAGTGCTGACTACTGAGATACCACAGGGTCTTGTCAGACAAGGAGGCACAGTCAGGTGGGGGCTGGTATCCTCTTGTAGGATTCAGCAAGAGTTGTTGAATCCTTAGGGGCCTTGTAAATGGGGAATTCTGGCTTGTTCTTGCCATAATAGGCGATCCATCAACACGGAGGTGACCCCAATACTTGCTCCTACACCAGAACTTCTGAAAATCCAGGAACCTCAAAGACTTGTGCCCTGGTCAGTCAGCTTAGGGAGCCAGGGAGGCAGCAGAGCGGAGAATTCACCCAGTTGGAAGCGCTCTGGGGCCAGCCTGCAGGCCACACTCGCCACTGAGGAGCAGGCCTCTGAAACTGGCTCACAGGGGCCTGCAGGGCCTGAGTGAACCACCAGGAAAAGACTCACTTCCTAACAAGCCAGAACCCCAAGGCCACTTCGGACCCGGCGGTGGCACCAAGTTGACGTGAAGGTGGTGGGAGTGTGACCAAGTACCTCGCTGTCCCCACCACACCCTTCTGTGCTTAGGGCTGCCCACCCCACCTCACAGGGGTGCTGTGAAGACTTTGAACAGTGTCGGGTTTTTTTAAGATAAGAGTCTATGAGCCGGGCGTTGGTGGCGCACATGTTTAATCCCAGCACTCGGGAGGCAGAGGCAGGCGGATCTCTGTGAGTTTGAGGCCATCCTGGTCTACAGAGTGAGTTCCAGGACAGCCTCCAGAACAATACAGAGAAACCCTGTCTCGAAAAACAAAAAAGAGTCTATGAATTCCTTTGCAATCCATTGTGTGTTGTGCATCACATTTAATTCCAATTTCTCCCACATTCATGCCTTTTCCCAAACCCATCTCTTTTGTGTCCTTATGTTTCCTTAAAACAGTTTTTAAATTTATCTTCTTTATTGACTGTGGGAGTTTTACATCATTCACCCCAGTTCTGCTCACCTCCCAGGTGTGTTCCCCCATGTCAGATTTTAATGTTTAGGTGAGCCAGATGGCAAAATGAAACCTAACTGGGTTTCTATGCGCTAACTGAAGATAGCTGGTGTGTGTTCAGAAAGCATTTAGCCAGCTCAAAAGTCATTTATTTTTAGATTTCATGGCTTAATATTTTTTTTTGTTGTTGTTGTTCTATATACCAAAGAGGCTTGCAGGTTTGCCAGTTACCAGTATGAGGCCAGTTGGTGTAGGAGCTGCCAGCCCTAAGGTCCTCCTGAGGCCTGCAGAGGTCTGTGGCTCTGGCTGTTGTCCACACCAAGCTGCCCAGGAATAACCACGGAGGACAGCAATACTCAGTTTTGAAGTGAGTGGAGCCAGACCACACCTCCTGAAGCCCAAACCACTCGCCAGGCTGCAAACGGGAGGGGGTGGATGATTGGCGATCATAGCCAGCTCTTTCTCAATGCATCGAAGCTGGGCTGGCTCCAGCCTCCATCCCCCTTGAGGACCAGGAAGCTGTGTCTTTGACGGATGGAGAACAGCTAATGACAGCCCTTGGCATTGTGGGTTGTAAAGCTGGATGTTGGCATCTGATGCCACCCTCCACCTGACAGTCTGGAAAGCTCAGCCTTGGGGCAGGTCAGGAGAGAGGGAGCCCAGGTGGTGGGATCTCTTGGAGAGATGCTGCATTGTAGCCTAGGAGACTTAAAGCTGTGTTTCTTAAGGAAGGGTGTGAGTGGAGGAGGAGCAGGCCCACCCTCCTGAACCGTCTAGGGTGGAAGTCAGCAATCCATAACGGAATGTGAGCTCCTTAACAGGAGATTGCTTTTCCTCTGTTGCTATGGCCGAGAGATTGTTCTTAACTATAAGTATAGCAGTGACAGATGGTGGCAGAGAATCGGGCTAATGGGGCTTTTCAGGGATTGCACAGGCCGCCACGTCTCTGGGCCCCCATGAATTAACGGAACCGTCGGGAGACTGACTTGTGCAGTTGCAGGCTTCAGAGGGAGAGCTCTCGGGTGGAAAGTGTCTGCTGCGCAGAGAGAAGGCTGTTTGGCAGTCGTGGAAACACTCAGGAGGACCTGCAGCGGCGGCAGGCTGGTGTGGTCATTTGCAGAGGAGAGAGCCTCCAAGCCGGGCAGCAAACAGCCGTGGCCGGGGTGGGTGCTGCTGCCTAGGCCTAGGATGCACACTTATTAACTCTTCCCACGTAGTTGCTAGCTTGGGGGCTGGCGTATCAGGGAGGCCATATTTAGTGTCAGGTCCCTGAGGACTCAGCCAAAGCTCCCAGGTTGCCGCCTCAGAACAGCCAGTGAGCGAGCTCTTGCTGTTCCCTGCCCACTGCCGCCCTGCCTTAGGTCGCTCCGCTCATACAGTGGCAGCAAGGTTGGAGCCTTCAGCCTTCCCGGTGGGTGTATGGCTCTGAAGCGAGTCCCTGGCTCGTGCTGAGCTTGGCCGGCCTCCATCCTGAGAGAGTGGAGGAAGCTCGTCTGACCCATTGCAAGGAGGGGAAGTAACGGAGTAATTACTGTACTCTTCTTTTTACACACAGAAATGTTTATTTAAATATATTAAATGGGATTTTCTTTCGCAGATACTGGTTATTCTTTCTAATTCCTAAATAAAACTGTACTTGATTTCACTATGAACAAGTGTGACTGTGGGAATGTAGAAGCCATACGTGATAACCGTGTCCAGATGAGCGCTCAGCACCACCACCAGCATCAAATTATGTGTGTTTTGTCTCAAGGCTCTCTTCTGAGCTCTGCCCCTAGAGCAGTGGTTCTCAACCTTCCTAACGCTTTGACCCTTTGTCACATGTGGAGACCCTCAACCATAAAGTTACCTCATTGCTACTTCATAACTGTAATTTTGTTACTGTTAAGAATTGTGATGTGGATACTGGATAGCAGGATGTCTGGTAGGCAGCCCCAAGGGGGTGGCAAGCCACGTGTTGAGAACAAGCTGCTATAGCAGCTTATAGTGATAAATTCATCTGCCCTCGGAGACAGCAGTGCAGGGTATCGGTGTAAACGCTGTCTGTGTGAGGTGCCAGCCTCTCTGGTACATAAAAGCAGCATTTTGCTGTTTAACTGGATCAAGCTGTGTGTTTTCTTGAAATGTGACTATAAGGGCATCGTTTAGTTTCCAAAACTTCAATTTTGGGTCATGTAGCTTAACCCCCATCCCCACCCCCAAGACAGGGTTCCCCTGTGTATCCTGGAACTCACTTCGCAGACCAGGCTGCCCTTGAACTCGCAAACATCCGTGTGCCTCTGTCTCCCGACGTAACAAATAGGTCAGTTGGTGGCAGCACATGCTTTTCCTCCCCCACTTATTCTTACGTGTATTTTACCTACATGTGTGTCTTTACCACGTGTGTGTGGTACCCACAGAGCCCAGAAGAGGGCGTCAGATCCCCTGGACTGGGGGTTACAGATGATTGTGAGCACCATGTACGTGATGGGATCCAAACCCCGGATCCTCCGAAAGAGCAGCCAGTGCTCTTACCCCCCCCCCCCCGGAGCCGTGTCCGGAGCCTGTGTGCCAGTCACGGGGACGCCGACATCTGGATCCACCTCTCCAGGACCCAGTCACTCGGCCTCCGTGGGGATGGACGCCACCCTCACAGAGAAGACCATTCACCACGCTGCTCCTTTATCGCAAATGTGTGTGGAAATAGCTTTCTCCGTGTGCCACGGTGCTCCGGGTCAGCAGGCAGCAAGCCCCTTTGCCACCCCTGCCAGCCCTCATCTCCAGTCTCCTACTTGGGTCTGAGGTGGTCTTGGTTCTTTAACGGAGGCGCTTCTGGGGGGTTGCTCAGGGCCCAGCTGCTTCCTCGGGGCTCATTGGCCCCCTCTCCCTCCTCAGCGGGACTCCCTGGGTCGACCCTAAAGAACGGTTTGAGGTGAGCCGGGTGACACCACTCCCAACAAATCTCTGTGTCCCTTCTGGGGGCCTCGATGATGGAAGACCTCTCCACACCCACAGAAGTGTGCCCGTTGAGAGAGCTCTGCCCACTCCAGACTCCCGCCCCCGGTGACAGTAGAGTGGATTTAAAGCATCTCAGCAGCTCAGGCTGGTGGCCCGTGAGCTGGGGCTGCCCTTGCGTGGAATGTGGCACCCATTGCTCTGCCTTCAACACACTGGTTCTAGACAGCTCTTGAACTCCCAACCCTGAATACAGGACCCCTTCCTCCCTCCAGTGACTAGCACTTTCCTGTTTTGCTTTTGAATTGTTTTGGTTTGGTGTTTTTAGCATTGCAGTGTAGCCCGGAACAGGCCTTCAAGTCGCTGTGTAGCCCTGTCTGGCTTAAAGCTCCCGGCAGTCCTGCCTCCCCCGTCTCACTAGTACAGTGATTACAGGTGTGGGTATGTGTGTGCACTCTCGTGTGTTACACACGTGCATGTGGAAGCCGGAGGACAGCCTAGGGTATTGTTCCTCAGCACCCCCCCCACACACACACACCGTCGTTTTTGGGGATAGTCTCTCACTGGCGTGGAACTTGCCCAGTAGTCTTTGACGGTGGCCAACAAGCCACCAGGGTTCCTCCTGTCCCCACCCCTCCAGTGGATGACACTCAGCAGGTTTGTTTTTTATGTGGGTTTTGAGGGTCAAGCATTTTATACCTGAGCCATCTCTCCAGCCCTTTTCTGTTTTATGGCCTGGGTGTTTTATTTCTTTTTGTACATGAAGCCATCTGTTCACAGGGAAGGGGTTCTAGCTGCGCAGGCTCCCTCCTAGCTCTCCCAGACTGCTCTGGGAGCAGCTGACCAGTGCTGGAGGTGAACCCCGGTGCCCCTGGCTTCCTTTCCCCTGTCCAGGAGCTCTAACTCAATAAGAACTTGCCCCTCACTGGCTGGCTTACAGGGATGCCAACGGTATGTTGGACCTCACAGGGCATTGCCATCCCCTTAGTGACTACAGCATCACCCTTGTAAATTGATTATATGAGGCCAAAAGAACAACAATATGTCCCCAAAAGGCCTGTGAAACAGCAGGGCCTCTCTTTCCCTCGGTGTTTGTTGTTTGGGTGAATGACTAGAAGGTGCATTTGTTTGTTTTTGTTTTGTTTTCCGAGATAGGGTTTCTCTGTGGCTTTGGAGGCTGTCCTGGAACTAGCTCTTGCAGACCAGGTTGGTCTCAAACTCACAGAGATCCTGCCTCTGCCTCCCAGGTGCTGGGATTAAAGGTGTGCACCACCAACGCCGGCTGGTGCGTTTGTTCTTGTTTGTGGGTTTTTTGTTTTGTGATTTTTTTGTTTCTGCTTGTTTCTTCTAAGACCGTCCCACTTTGTTTTTTTTTTTGTTGTTGTTGTTGTTGTTGTTGTTTGTTTTGTTTTTTGGTTTTTACGAGACAGGGTTTCTCTGTATTGTTTCAGAGGCTATCGGTCCAGCCCGGCCTCGAACTCACAGAGATCCGCCTGCCTCTGCCTCCCGAGTGCTGGGATTAAAGGTGTGCGCCACCACCGCCCAGCCCGTCCCACTTTGTAGCTCATCCTATGTTCACACCTTGTCTGTCCCTGTCACTCACCCCTGCTCGTGTTGGAAGGAAGCTGTTTTACCTGGCTGAGGTGGTACCGTCCCTGCCGTCATCATACGGGATCTGTTCCGTGTGCTCATCCAGAGGTACCTGGAACCTGGACAAGAGGAACCGGCATAGGCTGCCTTAAACTCACACTATGCCAAAACCGCAAGGCAGCAGACCTTCCAGGCCACATCCAACACTTCTCCCTTGGGCTGGGACTATTTACCAAGGCTTACTGTGTTTGTCAGAGCCCCTGGCCACAGTAGCATGCAGGCCCTGGTCAGGCCTGGCTTTCACAAGCTGCCTGCTGGTCAGGGGAGACACCTCAAGGAACAGCGGGGCCAGTGGTGTGGAATGACAGCTCCCTGGGCTTGCTTTAGTCGGCAGTGTGGGGTGGTCTTAGTGATGCCTTGCAGCCCCATGAGCCAACCTGGAGCACGGACCTTTCAGGCTGAGATTCGTCCAGAAGTGGGAGCTAGTGCAGCTGCTCCAGGGGAACTGAACAGCCACTGTGTCCAGGGAGTTGTGTAGTCTGACAGATGTAGGCCTGGAAGGGCCTTGGAGAGCTGCTGTTCCCTGGTTTGTCTTTTTTTTTTTTTTAAAGACAGGGTTTATCTGTGGCTTTGGAGGCTATCCTGGAACTCACTCTTGTAGACCAGGCTGGTCTCGAACTCACAGAGATCCGCCTGCCTCTGCCTCCCAGGTGCTGGGATTAAAGGCATGCGCCACCAATGCCCGGCTGTAGTGCCTGTTGTAATGGGCATTGCAGACTATTTTTAAATGGCTGTGGGCTATGTTGAAGACACAGTAGGGTTGATGTGGGTGGGGGTGGGGGCGTCACAGCAATTTACATAGTAAACAGGCTGAAATGGAGAGTTCAGTCTGGGGTCTTGGGATGGGCTAAAAATGGGAACGAAGCCGGGCGGTGGTGGCGCATGCCTTTAATCCCATCACTTGGGAGGCAGAGGCTGGAGAATCTCTGAGTTCAAGGCCAGCTTGGTCTACAGAGCGAGTTCCAGGACACCCAGGGCTACACAGAGAAGCCCTGTCTCAGAAAAACGAATCCAAACAAAAAGGAACAGATGAGAAAAGGAGCCTGCTCAGCAGCTCAGCTCCCAGGATCTGAGGACACACGATGCCATTGACCAAGATAAGGGGTTGGATGTGGTGGGGTGGTGCCCAGCGTTGTGCTGGCCGCTGCTGAGGACCCTTAGACACCCTGGCAAGAGAGCTGCCAGGAGGATGTAGCTGAGTTGAGTCTGGAACACAGGGATGCTAGGGTGAAATGCAGGGCCTCTCACTTTAAAACCAAAGAACTGGGATGGGGTAGGTTAGCTCTACATAGTGCACATGCTTGGAACACCCAAGGCTGGGTCTAATCCGTGTGTGCACGGGCATTGGAGCACAGAGTGAGAGAGAGACAGAAGAGAAAATAGGATGGAGAGAGGGAGAAGAGGGGGGAGAGATTGGAGGGAGAGGGAGAAGAGGGAGGGGGAGAGAGACCAGAGAGGAGAGGAGAGAAGAGGGCAGAGACAGCGTGCCTGCTAACAGCGAGGGGGATGAGTGGGGTCACTTGAGGGAGTGGAAGGTGAGGAATGTCTGGGATGGGCCCTGGGGTGAAGCTGTTATTCAGGCAGTAAACTGAGGAGCAGAGCATCCAAGAGCCAGGAGGATGGCTAGGCAAAGGGGAAAGTGTACAAGACGCACACCGAGAATGTCAGAGCCCACGGAGAGAAGCAGACACGGCTCTATACAGAGACCTCCCAGGAAGGAAACTGGAAAAGGACCGAAATCTGACAGTGGCCTCGGAGGTGACCCCAGGCACGCCCTGCCCACCACAGCTGCTTCTCTGCCCTAGCTGCTGGCTGAGTAGATCTGCAGTCACCTGAAAGTGGGGAATAGGCACCTGGACAAAGACTGACTACAGGAAGCAGCCTTAGGGGCAAGCTCCTGAAGACACCAAAGCCTTCCTCTCAGCCTGGAGTGGTGAGGGAATCCCCAGGAAACAGCGGGAACTGGGAAGTCAAAATGAAGGTGGGGGCCTGCTTCCAAGAAAGAGAACCTAAGTCCAGTTCCCAGGACTCACAGAAATGACTGCTGCAGCCAGGTGGTGGTGGTGCACGCCTTTAATTTCAGCACCGGGGAGGCAGAGGCAGGAGGATCTCAGTGAGTTTGAGGCCATCCTGGTCTACAAAGCGAGTTCCAGGACAGCCAGGGCTGCTACACAGAGAAACCCTGTCTTGAAATGGCCACCTCCCCCTGCAAAAAAAAAAAAAAAAAAAAAGACTCCTGTCCTCTTTCCTCCACATGTGCTCTGTGTGGAATACACATGTGCCTACACATACATACACACAGGCACAAAAGAGTAAATATTTTTTGGAGATAGGGTCCCACTATTTAATTCTGACTGGCCTGGAGTTTGCCATATAGACCAAACTCACAGAGATACACTTGCCTCTATTTCCTGGGTTCTGGCACTAAAGGTGTACAACCCTCACACTCAGCCCAAAAGGAAAAGAGCCACCAAGATCAGCAGGAAGACTGGAAGAGATGTGAGGCGTTGTCCAGAGAGTCACGGCAAAGAGAAACAGTGGAGTGGAGGCCAGCGTCCCACCGCAGGGACAGTAAAAGACACTCAGCCAGTCCGCAGCAGATTTGAAAGAGTGTGCCAAACCCCAAACCAAAAGATGGGGACTTCCAGATTGAGAGGAACCGTTGTCACCCATCCCAGGGGCTGGAAACACCTCATGGTGTGAAATTCAAGACAAGTCTGCAAGCTTCCAAGAGGAGTAAGTAGGTCACAGTGCGTGGTTAGGGCTCAGAAGAACTCAGCTGACTCAGGGGCATCCCCAGAAGCCGGAAGGAATAGAGCCCCCACTTCCAAAGCACAATCCAGAATTTAAGACTCAAACCCTCAGTCAAGTGTGAGGCAGAATGGAAGGAATGTTCAGATCCCTGCCATCTGCACACAGGCCTCCCTCCAGAAGCTGATTCACACTCTAGGTGGAAGATGGGCTCTACCAAAGGGAGGAAATGGGGAGGGGACAGGAGACAGGCTGGGCACCTGGAATTCCAGCGCCTTTGGGGCCCAGCAGGACGTCCATAGTGAACGTCCATCCTATGTCATCTTAACACTTTACAGTACTTCAGCTGGACCTAGGGTCTCACGGGAGGCTTCAGTAGCTGAGATTGCTGGTTTGATCGTAACATTCTGACGCCTGGTCCAGACCTGGCTGGTCAGCCGTGAGCAGATGAAGTCGCTGGGGCCCGGAAGACTTTCGACAGCTCAAGGTCCTCCCGTTCTGATGCCCCAAGGGCTGAAGGGAGCCGCCATGCACCTGGCAGCCTTCTCAATCTACTCAGTTACCACGTGTGTGCGAGTGTGTGTGCGTGTGTGTGTGTGCGTGTATGTGCGTGCGCATGTGCATGCGTGCGTGTGTGCCTGTGCGTGCGTGCGTGCGTGTGTGTGTGTGTGTGTGTGTGTGTGTGTGTGTGTATGCATAGGGGGTTCGTTTGGGATGAAGTCTGGCTACATGGAAGTCTGGCCTCAGGCTCACGGCAATCCTCCTGCCTCAGTTTCTAGAGCATACCACCCTATCTTTGGCAGACTCCTAGATTCTGGCACCTGGTCCACCAGAACCTGCCAGCCTGGCCTGCTGGCTTCGCTACTGGCACCTCCCCCCAGATGCTCACCTGGGCTCCAGTCGCTCCTTCACCCTGGCAATGGAGCGGATGTAGGGTGTGATCTGCTTGGTGATGGTGGTCAGGTAGGCATTCTCCTGCTTCAGCTGGAGGAGGTCATGGAGCTGGGCTGCGAAGCCAACGCCAAAGTGTTGGTTGTTGGTGTTAGACTCTCGCTCCTAAGCCCGGTACCATCTAGAGATCCCAACTGCCAGTGACCGTCTGCGATCAAAAGGAGCAGCCTGTGGTGCGGACAAGCCACTCACAGGATCCTACCCTCCAAAGCAGGTGTGAGATCCAAGCCAAACACTAGGGCAGGGAGGTGCGGTTGGTTAGTGGCTGACCGTGCCCTCCCCTCTGGAATGTGGATTAATACTGAGCAGCCACTGTCAGGGGACCTTCGTAAATCTCCTGCTGGGTAGCCACTCGTTGGTAAGAGTCCTCCCAAATCTGAAAGAGAAGAGTGGCATACTGGTTGAGGTGGGGTGGAATGGAGTAATACCTCTGGTATTGTTTCTGCTCCCGGAGCTACACAACCACAACACACCAATCTGGTCCACATTTCTCAAGAGGAAAGCCTCCAGGCACAGAACCCACAGCAGGAGGGTGCGGCAGAGCCCCACTCCAGGAACTCTCTCCCCGTCCTGCCTTAGGGTAGCCGTGTGCCTTCTGCAGGACTCGTAGAGCTCCTAGGGGAGATTACCTCCTGGAAGACGGCTCTCATGCGTTCCATGGAGGCATACTCAGAAGCGATCCGCGTGTCCAGCAGCAGGGACCTGTGCAGGATGTCCCCCATGATTTCGGCCTTGATAAGCGAGTGGTGCTTGGTGAGGTCTCGGTGTAATTCCTGGACCTGGTCCTTCAGGTTCTGCACCTCTGCCTGCAGCCCCTGTGGCAGAAGATGAGTAAGGGCGTGGCTTACCGCCAGGTCCTCCAGCGGAGGCGTAGTTTCCAACTAGCCAGACTACTGGATCCCAGCGAGGAAGGGGCGGGGCCTCACAGCCATGCCGATGCCCAGCTCCCCCTCACCCGGTAGGAATCCTCATAACGGCGGCAGTGCTCCGTGAAGGGTGTGTCTTCGCCCTCGGCCAGGAGCACCTTCGTGCTGATGGAACGGTGTGGTGAGGGTTTTTGGACAGGTGACCCTGACATCTTTCCCTCTGGGGAGGGGCAGCTGGGTGTCTTCAGGACTTGGGGGCTCGAGCTCCCTGCCAACCTGCCGAGAAAGTCAGTCTGCAGAGGGGAGAGGGCTAGTCTTCCCCTCCCCTAACCCCCTTGGCTACTCAGGGAGCCACTGTCCCCGCAACCCGACTGCAGGGTAGAACTCCTGGAAGACCTCAGAGGCCCCAGGCAAGGCCAAGGTAAGGGCACCCACTTAAGCTGGTGGTTTCTTTTTTTTTTTTTTTCTTTTTTTCTTTTTGTTTTTCAAGACAGGGTTTCTCTGTGGCTTTGGAGGCTGTCCTGGAACTCGCTTGGTAGTCCAGGCTGGTCTCGAACTCACACCAACGCCCGGCAAGCTGGTGGTTTCTAAAAGGCTTTCCCTCAGGCTGGATCTGGACACACCGAGGTGTGGCTCGTTCCTACGCTGGACACACGAGGTCTGAACTAATCGGGTCTCCCTTGGTCTCACTCGCAGACTTCACTACTTCTAACCCCTCCGAGGCTCTGGCTTTCAACCGGGTCGGGAACTCTGTTCACAGTGACTCCGGGCACCCAGAAAGTGTCCTGTCCAGTCTCTCAGCCGTCCTCCAGGGCTGTTCCTTGTCTGTCCCTCCCTCTCAGACTGCCGCCTGGCCCAGACACCAAGTGCAGAGCTGGGTACGCTTGAGGCTCAGCCAGAAAGGCAGGTACGGGAGCCTTTTCCAGTGATCCCGCCCATCGGCCCGCCTGGCGGGGGCTCACGTGTTGGCGACGCCCACGGTGGGCACAGCTCTGCGGGGCCCCAGCATCAGCAGCGGCTCCAGGCAGCGCGCGAATTCTGCACGGTGGTCGCTGGCGATCTAGACCGGAGATTGGGGCATGAGCGGCTCTCCCCGGCCCCAATGTCTCCCCCACCCACGACCCGCGCACCTTGCTGCTCTGAGCTGGTCTTAGGCGATGCGGCCGCGTGACGATGCCTTGCAGCCTCTCCATCAGCTCCTGCCACGGGGGAAGGGTTCAAGACGAGGGGGTCGTGGCAAGCAGGTGGCAGCCAGGGCGGGGGAAGGGGGGAGAAGTGGAGAGCTTGAAGGCCTTGGGGCTAGTCTGTCATGTTACCCGTCTCCTTTAGAGGCTCCAGGCCTCCTCTAGGACTGGTCCATACACAGGCACCACCCTCATCCTTAAGCAGGGTGGGGCTCCCGCAGACAGACGCTGCAGTTTGGTGGAATGGAGGCTTACGTTCACAGCCCGTTCAAAAGGTATTCACTTGCCCCCCCCCAAGGGCTTGTAGTGAAAGGGAAGGGAAGCCCACAGATGCCCAGTGAGCCTGCAGGTGCCTGTGAGACAGGCAGCCTCTGTGCAGGACACACTCTACATAGGAAGAGAGGATCCTACAGGAGATGGGGACACTCACATAACCCAGATCCAAAAACTCGGCTTTGCTGGCGGAGCTGAGGAAGGACGAGCAGATGACCAGGTGAACCTGCGGAATGGCGCCATGCTCAGCGCTTGCGCTGTGGGCTGGGGTGTCCAGCCTTGCATGCCCTCAACCCTTACCTGTAGGGTGGGCAGCAAGGAGGCCAGGTGGGCAAGCTGTTCCTTGAAAGCTTTGTCCTTCTCTTCATATTGGCTGGAGGGAACGGGGAGGGAGGGCAGGCTAGACTGTTTTGAGACAGTCTCTCATTGAACTTGGAGCTCACCAATTGGCTAGATTGTGACCAGTGAGCCCCAGGGATCCTTCTTGTCCCTGCCTCCCATGGCTGAGATTATAGGGCTGCCCACTGCATTTTTTTAAAGTGTGTGCTGGGATGTCCTTTGGGTCCTCGTGTTTCTGTGGCAGGGCTTTTACTGACAGCCATCTCCTCAGCTCTGGTTTTTGTTTTTGTTTTGATTGTTGAAACAGAGTCTCCTGTAGCTCAAGCTAGCCTTGAACTCCTGAACCTCCCACCTCTACCCTCCAGGAGCCACACTTACAGGTACACGCCATGGCTGCTTCCCCACTGGCTCTGTAGCTCCTTCCCTGTGAACACCCTGCCCGCTCACTTTTGGTGGCAGCCACCTGTGTGTCTGTGTCCACTGTGTAAGCCAAGGCTCAGGGCTGGGTGTACGAAGGTCAAGGGTAGGGGCTGGGGGCTTTCTTCCTTCACTCACCACTGCACAGCCTGCAGCAGCAGAGCTTTCCTCTCAGCCAGCCTGTCCTGAGAGAGATAGCCCATCACTGACCGGCCCCCCTGGCTCTGTCATCTCCTACGGCAATGCCTTGGGGCATAGGCACAGGCAGCATGCTTAGCACAGAACCCTGGGTGCCTGCATCACGGTCTTCCAGGACCCTGCCGCCAACATAACACCAGACTAGGATAGCCTCTGGCAACTCTTCAGGGAGCTGTGATTAACCCAATTGGACGGAACACCTGGCATTACACTGTAGCCTGTGAAGTGAGTGCCTGACCCCATCCCTCACCTGCATGCAGCCAAAGAGGGCGTGGATGGCCGCCTCCTCCTCAGCCGCACTGTGCCTCACCTCCTCTACCATGGTCTGCAGCAGCGCGATGGCCTCTTTCGTGGCTGTCTGCAGGGCTTGCACCGCCTGGGGACAGACAGCAGGGTCTCAGCCCTGTTCTCCCAGCCCCCACCCGCCAGCCCGCTCCAACCCCTCGGTTCCTCTCTCACCAGCACTGCCTGCTCCAGCCGCTCGCAACCTTGCACATAAGCGGACTCCAGGTCCACGCAGTGGGCGCGGCTCTCCCTGTCCAGAGGCAGCCAATAAAACCCGCTCCAACCGCGCTCCCTCCGCGCCCCACCCACTCCCTGCCTGCTCCCCCTACCCACCCTTGCATGTCCCGAAAGCAGCGGATGCACAGCAGCGACTTCTTGTCGGTGGAAAACATGATGTAGGGCTCTGAATGCAGCGCTGTGGAGCGGACGGTGGCGGTGAAGAGAGCCCGGGGAGACATCCCGCCTGGTCCCCACCCATGGCCAGGGTGGGCCTCACTCACTACACTTCTGGATCACGTCGCGGCTGTGCTGGCCCAGGGCTACAATGTCATGCCTTGCGAACATGCGCGCGCGGTGCGTTTCTTCGCGGCAGCGTGCGCACAGGGGCTGCCCGCAGGTGTTGCAGAAGTAGGTGGTCTCTGCGTCCTGGGGATCGAGAACTGGGTCAGGCTGCCCTCTCCTCGGGCCAGAGTTCCAGAACTCAACTGAACCCAGTAATAGGACCACAGACACCGTGCCATTGGGTGCATCAATCCTAGCCCAGGAAGGGGTCCGGCTAAATGCAGCTCCTTCATGCAATCCCCAGCAGATGAACTCTAACACTTCAAGAACTACATTTATTGATTCACTTGTATATGTGGGTGAGTGCCCAAATGCCATGCCATGAGAATGAAAGTTGGTTCTCTCCTTCTGCCTTGTAGGCTCTGGGAATCAAACTGATGTCTTGCAGGCTTGGCAGCAGTGTTCTTCCCTGCCGTGCCAACCCCTCCACCCCTGACCCTCTTCCCTGGGCCCTTTAACACCCACATTAAGCTGAGGACATTGGGGGCTGGACAGATGGCTCAGCAGTTGAGAGCACTGGCTACTCTTCCAGAGGACCTGGGTTCAATTCCGGGTGCTCACAACTGTCTGTAACTCTTCTGGCTTCCAAGGACACCAAGCACCCACTTGGTACACAGACATACAGTCAGGGGAAACACACATATGCATAAAAAATGTAAAAGTCCAGGCAGTGGTGGTGCGCGCCTTTAATCCCAGCACTCAGGAGGCAGAGGCAGGCGGATCTCTGTGAGTTCGAGGCCAGCCTGGTCTACAAGAGCGAGTTCCAGCACAGCTCCAAAGCCACAGAGAGACCCTGTCTCGAGACACCAATGTATATATTCAACAAAATAGCCCCGAGCTTCCTTCCTGCCATAGGGCCATCAACCCTCTACTCGCCTTTGCATCAGGGTCAGAAGCCTCTGCTCCCTGCTCTCCTGCCAGCTACTCACAGATGCACACATATTGGCCTCAGTTGCTCACACGTGCTTAAGCAGCAGAGGGCCCTCAAGGGTTCCCCAGGGGGTCCTCAAGGGTTCCCCAGGGGGTCCTCAAGGGTTCCCCAGGGGGTCCTCAAGGGTTCCCCAGGGGGTCCTCAAGGGTTCCCCAGGGGGTCCTCAAGGGTCCCAGGGGGTCCTCAAGAGTTCCCCAGGGGGTCCTCAAGGGTCCCAGGGGGTCCTCAAGGGTTCCCCAGGGGGTCCTCAAGGGTTCCCCAGGGGGTCCTCAAGGGTCCCAGGGGGTCCTCAAGGGTTCCCCAGGGGGTCCTCAAGGGTTCCCCAGGGGGTCCTCAAGGGTTCCCCAGGGGGTCCTCAAGGGTCCCAGGGGGTCCTCAAGGGTTCCCCAGGGAGTCCTCAAGGGTTCCCCAGGGGGTCCTCAAGGGTTCCCCAGGGGGTCCTCAAAGGTTCCCCAGGGGGTCCTCAAGGGTTCCCCAGGGGGTCCTCAAGGGTTCCCCAGGGGGTCCTCAAGGGTTCCCCAGGGGGTCCTCAAGGGTTCCCCAGGGGGTCCTCAAGGGTCCCAGGGGGTCCTCAAGAGTTCCCCAGGGGGTCCTCAAGGGTCCCAGGGGGTCCTCAAGGGTTCCCCAGGGGGTCCTCAAGGGTTCCCCAGGGGGTCCTCAAGGGTTCCCCAGGGGGTCCTCAAAGGTTCCCCAGGGGGTCCTCAAGGGTCCCAGGGGGTCCTCAAGGGTCTCCCGGTCTGTGAACTGAGCTACTACTCCCATAACCGCTCACAACACCACCCCGACCTGGGGACCCTAAAGTTAGCTGTCCCTAAACTGAACGGCCACAGCCTCTGCCACTGTCTGGTTATTGGCTCAAGTCGCTTTTCCTTCTGGGCCTTGGTCTCCCGGCCGTGAGTATGATGGGGGCATGGCGGGAGCCCGAGGGATCCCAGGGAGTGGCTGGAGGCTTCACCGGTGTGTCGCTGTGGTGCATCTAGGCGTGCTGTAAGCCTTGGGGACCCTGTAACCTGGTACCCACCGCCTTCTACTCCCTCACCTGCTTGCCACACTCCAGGTCGCAGTTGGCACAGCGCACAGTCTCCACACCATCTACAGAGCTGTCCACCAGGAACTGCAGCAGCCGGTCCACTGGCGGGAGCCCACTGGGGCCCTTCACCGGGGTCTGGTGCCTGCAGAGAGGCTGCAGCCAACATCTGGAGGCCCTCGCCCACAGCTCTCCCCACTACCCTTCGCATTCCAGGCAGGAGCTAAAAATAGCAGCATCGGGGTAGTGGGGTCTGCTATAAATACAACAGCCAGCTTGTCCCGAGGGCCCTACCCTGCCCAGCGTGTGCGTAAGCCTGTTGTATTGCAGTGGGAAAGGCCATGCCACCCGTGGACCCTCTCATTTCACTGGAACGTTTTTGAGTTAACTTAGCAATTGTGTTAACCCTAAGATTTCAGGGACACGACCCTTCCGAAGGAGTTGCTACGAGTGTCCTCACCTCTTTTCCGACCCTACTGTAGCACCCTGACTCTGGGAAGCTTGTGGTAATTACCATCTAACTGCCTCAGCTAACCTGTCTAAGCTACGCGGAGTTGGGGTAGTTCCGATAGTTCCTTTCATGACAGCCGACCGTTCCCACCTCCTCAGCCTTGGCTTGGGACACTTACTGGCACAGCGGACAGGACAGGCGGCCATCAGTGGCCCGGCCGCGCAGGCAGCCAGCGCAGAAGTCGTGGAAGCAGTCCAGCAGGCACGGGCGCTTGTACTGTGCATGGCACAGCGGGCACACGAGGGGATGGCCACTGGCAGCATCCAGGGTACCCAGGCCCTCCAGAGGCGCAAAAATTGCTCCAGACATTTGCGTGGGTGGACAGCTCAGGACAGTGACCGGGATTCCCGGGGCCCAGACCACCACCCTCCGACCTAGCACTCCTGGACAAGAGTTAGCCAGTGACTTTGGGATGCTGGAATGCCAGTCGCGTCCCAGCCGGGACAACGGGGTCGGGAGCAGGACTGCTTGGAGAGGGGCCCTGCCTCTGGTCACTCACCTCTCTCACAGTCCTCCTGCTGTGGCTCTAGCGGGGAGCGGATGCCCTAGAAGGTCAGGTCGCTAGGCTGGGCAGTGCTTCCTCCTCGGTCACCCCTCCCTCCTCCTCTCCCTCCCACCCTTTGCAGTTCTCCGCCCCATGTCCTCCGGGTGACCGTGAGTGAGGTCCCTCAGTGCTCCTTCCCCGAGGCATTGCTGCTGTGCTGAGCCTGGTGCACAATCTCGAAGTCTCTCCACCCAGCGGTCCCAGACCTCTGAGATTGGAGCGCGGAGCCGAGGTCGAGGACACGGGGCTCCCGGATCTTCAGCCAGTGGAACTCTCACAGTCTGGACCAGAGAGGGAACAGTGGGTCTTCACAGCCCCAAGGCCAGCTGGGGGCACCGGAGAGCAGCAGCCGGTCCACAACATTCTATGGCTCAGATGAGGGTGCGCTGCGGGGGGTCCTAGGCCTGCTCTAGCTGGTTGTGGTGCTCAGGCAAGTTACCGACTTCTCTGGGCTGCTCTCCGTGTGATGGGGTGAGACTTGCATGTTCAAAGAGGGGTGGGTTTGGGTTGGGGGTTGGGACCAAAGGCTTGTCCATCCAACAGTCTCTATCGGGTTTCCTTCCCTTGCTAGGTGATGTTCTTAGCTTTCAGCTTTCTCTACTCGTGTTTTCCTAAACTCCCTGAAAGCTGCTCATTTTGCATAAATCAAGTCCCCAGTTTGACTCCCAAGAAGTCTTACTCGCTGGCTAGAAAAAAAACGAGATGGCACTATGGCTGGGTTTTAAAGGAGAGCCGGAGTTTGCCAGAAGGGAGTAAATTCTTTGTAGAATTACCCGTTCACCTTTCTGAAAAATTTTCTATTATGCTATTTGTGTGCATGTGTGGGTTGTTTTAAGGACTTTCCTAGCCCTGGATGACTTGTGGGCAGTCATAATTGTTACTGTAGCAGTTAAAGAGTTAATGCTTAGAACAGGCTCCAAAGCTACAGAGAAACCCTGTCTTGAACAATCAAACAAACAAAAGTTACCTCTAGTAAGTGGTAGAGAGAGAGAGAGAGAGAGGGAGAGAGAGAGAGAGAGAGAGAGAGAGAGAGAGAGAGAGAGAGAGAGAGAGAGAGAGAGAGAGAGAGAGAGAGAGAGAGAGAGAGAGAGAGAGAGAGAGAGAGAGAGAGAGAGAGAGAGAGAGAGAGAGAGAGAGAGAGAGAGAGAGAGAGAGAGAGAGAGAGAGAGAGAGAGAGAGAGAGAGCGCCAACTGGGTGTATGCTTTGTTAATGAGCTTGCCAGTAGAAAGTAAATGTCTAAAAAGATGTATTTGTTTTTATTTTATGTATGAGTGTTTGCCTGCATGCATGTCTGTGAACCACATGCATACAATGCTGGTGGAGGCCAGAGAGGGGGTCGGAGTCTCTGAACTGGAATTATAGATGGCTGTGAGTCACCATATGGGTGCTGGGACCCCCCCACCCCATCCTCTACAAAAGAGCCCTTTCTCCCGCTTAGCTTTGTTTGCTTTCGAGACAGTCTCATTATGTAGCCCAAGCTGCTCTCAAACTCTGCATCCTCCTGCCTCCACCTCTTGAGTGCTGGGTTAGATGTGTCACGTCACCATGCAGACACTGGGTGTTGTTCCTGACAGCCGTGTTTCCTTAATCCCATGCGTTGGTATGTTGAGTATCTACCATGGGCAGGATATTGTAGCAGGCATTGGGACATAGACGGGAACACTCCAGTCACGGTTAACCGAGTGTACAAACGAACAGGGCGATGACAGATGGTGCTAAGTGTAAATAATATTATGATAAGGAGGGTGTGATGCAGGGCAGGAGAGGGAATGGGGCCTGGGACCCTGATAGAGAATCAGGCAGAAAAGAAGACTGAGCTTGAGACTTCAGAGGCCAGGGAACATTCCAAGCAGAGGTAGAAGCAAGGGTAAGGTCCTGCGACCTTGACTACGTTAAGAGAAAAGACCAGAGTGGATGGAGATGAGAGAGGCAGAATGGGTGAGATGAGACCCAGGAGAATGCTGGGAGACCCTGGAAAATGCTGTGAGAACCTGGAGAGTACTGGGAGACCCTGGAGAATGCTGGGAGACCCTGGAGAATGCTGGGAGACCCAGGGGAATGCTGGGAGACCCAGGAGAGTGCTGGGAGACCCAGGAGAATGCTGGGAGACCCTGGAGAGTGCTGGGAGTTGGAAGCCCTGCTAGCGAGCCTGGCAAGGAGGGGGAAATGACCAGTCGTGTCAGGTCAGATTCAGGAGGTGTAAGATGGACATGAAGCTTAGCAGGGCGGCCAGGTGGTCACCAGCTGTCCTGGAGGTATCTGGCCTGAGCGAAGTCAGCAGAGAAAGTGAGGAGACTTGAGGACAGCACTCAAAGCTGTACCCACCCCAGGCTTTGTGTAGGAGGGAAGAAGAGGGTGGTAACTGAAGGAATATGGAGCCCTGGCCTAGGAGATGTTGGAGACTGGTTAGATGGTGATGGGCAGGGTCCAGAGGGGAGGCCAGCAGGATGAATGGTGCTGTCTTCCGTGAGTGACAGCTCTTCTACAGCAAGGGGCAGAAATGCAGAGTCTGATGTGCAGCTGTTGCCAGAAGGAAGGTGACTGCAAAGGCTGTGTCTGCAGATTGTCTTTGGGTGACAAGGGCAGTCAGTAACTGTGAGGAAACATTGTAGTCAGGAGATTCCACCAGACTGCAGCAGGGCCAAGGCCCAATGAACTTGTGGCTGAAGATATGGAGAATATCCAGTGAGTTTGGGCTGGTGAGATGGCTCAGAGGGTTAAAGATGCTTGCTGCCAAGGCTGATGCCCTGAGTTAGACACACACAGACACACACACACACCACACAGAGACACACACATACACACTACACGCAGAGACACACACACACACCACACCACACACACACACCACAGACACACACATACACACCACAGACACACACATACACACCACATATACACACCAAATATACACACCATACACAGACACACACACACCATACACACACATACACACCATGTACATACATAGACACACACCACACACACACATACACACCAAATACACACACCATACACACATACACACCACACACACACTATTATTATTATTATTATTATTATTACTATTATTATTATCATTTAAAGCAGCTTCTTGTACTATTTGATTAATAAACATGGTCGGGAGTCAGATATTAGAGTAAAAACTGAAAGATCCACAGAGCAACTAAGAAATGGTCAGCGACCTCTACCACACTTCCCTTCTCAAAAGGACCCCTTCCTTATTCCTCTTGCGTGTCCCTCTATCTCCTTTGAGTCAGCCAGAAAACACTATGGTCCACTCTGGCCAGCTGAATGCGGACCCCGCCCTCTGAACCGAGGCTGGACGCCACTGGCAGTCTCAGAGAAACAACATAAACAAATCTCCCACAGCATTTCCCCCTTTTGTCTAAATAAAAAGGAAAGGTTTTAACACTAACATAGCAAAACTATGTACAATAGGAACAATTACATTCAGGTAAGAATTACATTCGCGGGCTGGAGAGATGGCTCAGTCATTAAGGGCACTGGCTGCTCTTGCAAAGATCCTGAGTTCAATTCCCAGTAACCGATGGTGGCTCACAACCATCCGTAATGAGATCTGGCTCCCTCTTCTGGCCTGCAGGCATACATGCAGGCAGAACACTATATACATAATAAATAAGTAAATCTTTTTGTTGTTGTTGTTTTGTTTTTTGAGACAGGGTTTCTCTGTATTGTTTGGAGGCTGTCCTGAAACTTGCTCTGTAGAACAGGCTGGCCTAAATAGATAAATCTTAAAAACATAAAATAAAGGAATTATAGCCAGGCGGCGGTGGTGGTGCATACCTTTAATCCCAGCACTTGGGAGGCAGAGGCAGGTGGATCTTTGTGAGTTCCGGATCAGCCTGGTCTACAAGAGCTAGTTCCAGGACAGGCTCCAAAGCCACAGAGAAACCCTGTCTCAGAAAACCAAAAAAAAAAAAAAGAATTATATTCATAATGTCCAGTTCATTTGTATTTGGCAAATTCAGAGAAATACTCCATTATTTATCCTTGCTTGGCAAATCCAAAGTTTTGTACCTAATTTACTTCTATCATAACTAAGGAAAACTGTAACTATAACTATCTAGTTTTCAGCCTCATCAAAGACTCAAGAAGGATACAATATTATCTTAGTGAACAGGAATTGCAGCTCAGACAACTTCCAAAACTATAGGAAATGATGAAGACATTTGGCTTCCTGGGCAATCACCCCAAGGTTCCTCTGCAACATTAGGGCATCCATCTTCAGGCTACAGGCCTAGAATATCTGACAAACTTTTCCGTGAAGTGGGAAATTTTCAAGGACTGTCCTACCTTGTCTTGGCAAAGCCCAACAGTTGTTTTATTTTGTGTCCTGCTTGTCCAATTTGGACAGCATGCTGTCAGCATTTGAGGCAAGGGCAGTTTCTTGCCCAATGTCTAACTTTGTCACAAAGAAAGAGAGCTCTGTATGGAGGTTCTTTGATGCCCATCATCCTTGTTTGAAGTAAACTATTGCTACCAGGAGCAGACATGTCTCACTGTGGTGGAAAGCCTTGTTATTAAAACATTTTAAATGCCATATTCTGTAGGCCATTGACATGTGTGAAGACCACCTATTTATATAAAATATCACTGTTTCACCTTGAAAACATACCTTGATTGTTATAGATGACTAACTATTAGCCTATATTTCTCTATTATCCTAATAGGTTTCAAGAACTAGAACTTTACATTACATTTTTAGATGAACTGCACAGGTACAATACCTTAAACAAGAATAGAAACGTATATACAGTGTAACAAAAATAACAGTAAATTTGTATGAATATACAAAAATACATACCAGTGTAAAATACCAGTGTAAAATATTTGAGACCAGTAGTTGCTGTTTTGGTTTAAAAGTAGATTCAGTGATCTACCCTCTTATCCTGTCATTTCTGTATCCCCCTATTTTTCTTTGCAGAATGAGATCCCTGAATCTAATCTCCTCTGCTTACTTTCCTCCCTGGCCATGACCCATAAACTTGCAAGTATC